ATTTTTTAGATACAAAGATCTTTTCCTCTGCTCACACACACACACACACACACACAAATTGCTCCAAATATAAGACTCCGTTACCTATTTGTTCTATTGAAGCTCCTTTATAGCGAGAACGCGAGAACCTCTTGCATCTTCTGTGACAGAAAAATGACCGTGCAAAAGCGCGCGCTAGTACATGTACGCACCGACCATAAATCGCGCGACACACGTAAATAGTGTTCACTTCATTTTTCATGTGTCACTATATCTCTAGAGCGAAGCAAATAAACACAGACGCGTTGCAAAGCTGGCTCACATATAAGCGAGGCGTATGAAAAGCCGCAAACAAATTTTTTTAAACATATACAAAATAATAAAAGTACAAATGGCAAAATCTGAAAAATAAACGGTCTCATAAAAAATATATTTTTACAAGTAAAGACACGGAGAAGCATAAGAATAGACTAAACTGGTTTATAGTAATCTCAGTGCATTTTTATTTGAAATCTGTTTTTTTTTTTTTTTTTTTTATTGTTTTGCTAATTTGCATTTCCTTCGATTTTATGTGTAGTCTTTGATAAAAATCTGTAGAGCGCGAGCTGCTATTCAGCTCGTCTGTTAAAGAACCACGCATCATTTTTTTTTTTTAATAAAAAAGTATACTTCAAGACATTTCTTTCTTCATAATCTATTATATAAGTGTGTTTGATGTCACTTTAAAGCTTACATTTTATATTATTGTTTTCTGTTGTCTAATATCAAAGAAATTGGTTTAAAAAGGTTTGAAGTTATTTATTTTTTAAGTGTTTATATAAACACTTAAACGAGAATAACAAATATTTGCAATATATGATTATTTTACTTTTTTACCTAAAACAAAAGCTACGCAAGCTTGTGAAAAAATTTGTGTTGGTATGTATGGCCAAGATGTTCTATCGATGTCTACTGTCAAGTGTTGGTTTCGTTGCTTTTGGAGTAGAAATTTTGATATACAAGATGCTTTGCGCTCTTGCTTGCTTTGACTGAATTTAACACAGATTGTATTATCCAAAAAATTGAAGAAGACAGACATTTTTTTTTTTGGCAGATACAAACTCGACATTTCTAATTTAACAGTGATAAACCATTTACGGAAATTGAATGAAAAAGAAACTCGATGAGAGAGTTTTGCACGAATTAATCCAGAAAAATTTACTTTATTACGATAATTACACACACATTTTGCAACTCGACAAAACAGATTATAATTAACAGAACTTGGCTGAAAAATTCGAACGCATCCATTATATAGACATAGCACTTTTCGATTTGTTTCGATTCTTTACGAAATTTTTTTAAATGCTATTAATTTGCGTTTACCGTAAGAGTGCGAAAATCACTTGAGTGATTTTTAATCGGAAATTGCAGAAATTCTAAGAATTAATTACAAAATGATAAAAAAGATCATCCATCAGAATGGATATTGTTAAAGAATCGAGTATAGATTTGTTCGAAAATCCAAAATATATTGTAGTTGCCTTCCTCGTGGACATCACGATATTTATGTCACCCCCGCGCTATTTACGTTTGTAATTTGTCGCAAAGTATATACGACCGTCGCGATTTTCAATAGAACCACGTTATTCATTCTGACGATATTGCCTTATTTTTGTCAGCATCTCTCACTTGTTGCTTGGCCACAGAACATTTTACTGCATCGATCCGATAAAAAGCCACGAATATATAGGGTATCTGAAAAAGTTTGACAAAGTCAAAGTGTGATAGATTGGATTAATCTTAACAAAACAGTCATTTATTATCTTGCAAAATTAGTATATTTATTGAATTAGTAATTAATGAATGTGAGCCAATGAGCTCAATAGTGAGAAGCAATAGTCTCTTGTAGACGTGTACGATTTTTAGTTGTATTGCCGTGAAAATCAGCTGATTGCAAGAAGTTGTTATAACGCTCGCGTTTGTTTTACCTCTCGTTTCTGAGACATCACATGAAGTAAGTCATTTTTGTTTTACAACTAAAAATCATACTTGCTTATAGAATCCGGACTATTGCTTTCCACGCGCTCATTGGCTCACATTTATTAATTACTAAATCAATAAATATTGCGAATTTTGTAAAATGATAAATAACTTCAATTCACAGATTGACTCAATGCTATCTTCTAATTTGGCTGTTCGTGTTATTGCTGTCGTTTAAAAGTACAGTAAGTCGGTAAAAATATAAAAAATCATACAATTTATTCTGTCCCTCTCGAATTTGTGTTTCACTCTCAATAACTTCGTACCCGCGCTGTGTTATATAACGCTTTCGTAATAAATGAAAAAGTTAGTTCTCGCATTCATATATTTTTTCTCTGGCGGTCAAATCACGTGCCATTTAACAAACGTACAAAATGGTGTGACCGCTGAAAAACTTGTTCCTCCATTTTTGCAAAAAATATTAATTTTCGTAAAGTTAACAACATTACATACGCGCCGTTAAGTTAATTGACTAACTGAGATACCGAGAAGTTGTAGCGAACCTAACAACAAAAAATTTAAGACGTTGTTGAAAATTGTGCTTCACAAATGAAACACACGTCAGATTATCAAAGATTGTCTTTTAAAAGCGTAAATTTATCGAAAAATCCACAAATCACTTTGGTACATATTCCGAGAAAAATTTTTCCAGTCCATATTAACTGCAAACTCTTTCTTATACCATAACTTACCACACGGAATCCGTGTGACCACAATTTTCAATTTTCGTTAAGAGTGCGTAATTTAAACATGATTGCAATGTAAAACTGGGGAAAGAAATATAAGTCGAGACTTCATTCAGGTAAACTTTGCGCCGTTTACTTAAAACTATTAACGTCTCTAGATTGGTGTTTTTGAACCTATTCCTATTCCAGACATATATTAATCAATATAAGATGTATATGTCGCACATTTGAAAAAAATAAAAAATAAATAAATTTTTCATAAAAGTTAAAACTACGGTGGATTTGCCCATCTGTACACAAAGTGTATATCTGTCGCAAAAATAAGAATAATATTTAATAAGTTACTATATTATTTATCACTTTTTTTAGAGTAAATAGATTAGGATATCATCCTCGTTATATTCGCGGCATCAAAGATTAAATCCGCAGAAATTGTTCGGGTTTCAATTCTTGGTAAATGCAGCTTTAACTGAGCAATGGCAATGCGATCTGTGTGTGGCCAGACGTTAGTGAATACACAGTTCGCTATAAACTGCCGAGCGATAATAACGCTCGGCGTTAAGTGCATTGTGCACATTGTGCGCCATGCACGAACAGTGACATCTTCTATTACGAAGAAAGAGATCTAGCGCTCTTTTAAATTCTAACAATTTTATACTCAAATATTTGAAATAACTAGATTTGTTAACATGTAGTATTAATTATTTAGAAAATAATTACAAAAGAGAAATATACATATAGCAGAAACAAATGTCTGCAATGAAAGGATTACTATAAAAACTAAATAATTTATAGACAAAAAGTTTATGAAACCCCAATCTGTATAAATATATTACTAAAAATAATAAACATTATAATAAATATTTATTAGTTTTGTACTCGTTCAGAAACAAAACTTTTACGTTTGTGGTATTATCTGTGGTTTGTTAAATATATTTGTGGTTAGTTAATGTTATATATGTATATATAAAAGTGTGGCTGAAAAAAAATAATTTTCGGCTCACAGATACATAAAACTACACAGGCGACGCTGGCTACAAATGCAGTACGGACTGCAATCGCGTGATATGTCACGCGACGTAAATAATTGTGCATGTCGCGCAGAGCGAACTATCGTCATACACGTCAGCGTAAATAATTGCAATTGTTGCAAAACGAACGTACCTGCTAAAAATATAATTTTGCGATCTGCAAAAGAGATTATACAAAATAAACATTTTTTTTTTTTTGCAACTATATCTGAACCACCTATATCTTTTTCTTCTCGTTTTATGGAAAGATTTGCTTTACACGTAGCGAATTATTTTGAAGAAGAAAGAAATATGTGAATATTTCTTTTCGATGAAAAAAATTAATTGTTTGTATTTATACGTATCACTTCTCAGTTATATGTAAACCAATCTTCTTAATAGAAGAATTTGAATGATAATTTGTTACATCGAAACGATAACTCGAAGGAGAGTTGCAAATCGATAGAACCTATAGTCGATGGACAGGTCATTCATTAGTTAAAGTGTATTCGATAATTGTTCGTGCGCTTCAATTTACAGAAACATTTTCTATCGTAATTGCACCAGTGGTAACCGTCGCTAATACCATCTAAACTAGTAGAGAGAATTGTATTTTACTATTTTACTAAAGTATGTCTTCGATGTTATCAGCTAGTATGATCGAGAGACGAGTTTTTAAATAAAGCGCATGTAATAAAGTAATAAAAGACAATGATAGAAATTGGCCATATTTGGACCTTGCTGGCAACGAAAGTTTCTTGCGGGTCATGTTTCCACAGGTCTTAAAGAATCTGAAGTGCATAACTATTTATCCGGGAGACGATGGAAAAGTCATAAAAAATAAGAAAAATAAGGGTAAACAACCTAACGTTTGCAAATTCAAAAGACTACGGAAATATTGGTTTTTTTTTGTGTTATATGTTTTTAGAAACGTTTCAAATTTTCTGTCTAAAGTAATTTATATATTAGGTCTACCGGAAAGTTCTGTCCGTTTTTGGAATAAAACAAAATACACATTTTTCTTAATTTTTCAAAAATGGGATATACAAATTGCCCTCACGCTGGCAAGAAATCATTAATAATAATGGCAATTATATTATTTAATAAAGTTTATTGACGGTAAGAAAAATTTGTATTTTGTTTTATTCCAAAAACGGACAGAACTTTCCGGTAGACCTAATATTTATATATTTATGATTTTTTTTGTTTCATAAAGATTGAAGCTGAAAAATTGTTCATCGCACAGCGGAACATTCCTATTCGAAGAATCGATAAATAAAGATATTAATAAATTAATACTGACCGTTCGCCTAAGTACAGTCCTCACGGTCTCCACGTCCTGTTGTGTGGGCCAGTGTGCGTAAACGACACCGCTTAGCAGGATTATGAACACGCCGATCCAAATAGTCCACGCCAGAGCGTTGCGCGACCTGGCGAGCAGTTTTCTCGCTGTTCTCGTCGAGATTACGTCTTGCGTCGGTATCTCTAACTTCTGAGCTCGTTTTAGTATGTCCTGAAGTCGCCTTTTGGCTTGTTCCACGTCTGGCAACCCCATTTTTCTTATCCTTCTTATTCTATCCTTGGTTTCACTACGTCGATCTTGAGACTAGCAGAACCGCGCGCGTCTTTGCGCGTGAGATGATTACTGAAGACTCACGATGAAGACATTAAGAATCGGCGGGGGGTTGTAAGATCTTGTTCCATGTACACGATCCTTCTTGTCCGTAACGATTGCGTTCTTGATTTTCTGCAAAATTTATTCCAATTTGTGACTTTCGCGATATGTATATTTTATTTACAGCTTTGATATTTTAAATGCGTGAGATATATTGTGTAATCTTGCTCATTTGTTTTCTCGCGTACGAAGGAAGAAAGCCTCACCTACCAAGAATCTAGTTTTTTACATATAATACTTCATATATGTAAAAAGAAAATTATTTTTATAATTATTTTTATATAATAAATTATAATATAACATTAAAATTATAATATAATATCTTTATATTTTTAGATAATATATTATAATTATTTTTATACAATACTTCATACGTAAAAAAGAAAATTATTTTTATGTTGCAGCACATCATTTGCAATGTCGATGTTAATATTTTTATCTCGACAGTTATTATATCTAATTTATACAGCTTGATAAAGCTGAAAAAGACCTAATTTGACCGTTTTTTCAGTGAGTTTGTACTGCGTACTAAAGCGTGAAAATATATGAATAATTTAATATGAAAAAACTTGGAACATTCAATTTCAACGAATAATTTGAAAGTATATATGTTCTCTTTTTTGGCCTTCGGTATTAATTAATAATAATCAATTCTGAAATTATTCTCGCCGTAAAACAGTAATTATCTAATAAGTATCAGTAATTATCTAATAATTATCTAATAATTTTAGATCAATCTTCTTATTTCTCTCCCTCTTCTCCTCTCTTTTTCTTTCTCTTTCGTCGGTTTTGCTCAGATTACGCAAAGTGACGAGCGAGAAAAAAATCATCTTTTGTGAATCTAGGAAAACTTTTGCTCGGGCGCGCCTCGAGAACAGAAAAAAGAGATCGAAAGAAAACGGTTTATCTTACTCAGAAAGAGGAGTTTTCTCGTGTATGAAGAGAAGAAATACTCTTTCGATCAAATCGCAATGACGAGCCGCGAGAAACCATCAGGCCATCTTCTTTATTATCTTTTTTTTCCATTAAAGCGTCGATTATTTATCATCATGTTCAATATTAATCAATTTTTTTTTTCCGTATGAATACGGAAATTCCCAGAATTCATGATGATGTGTGACAGAATTGGACTAAAAATCAAGTGATTAAAATGTCTGGAAACATCTGGAATTATGAGTCTTTTTACGTTTACGAAGATTTTGATATAGTCTCTTGCATATGTTTATATAAAAAATATAATTATAATACGTAATATAAGATACAATATTTAGACTGTCCAGTAATATTTGCGACTGGCAATAATATTTGTTGAAAAATTTGTTGTCACATTTTCCAAAAATTATATAAATTTTATAAAGAAGTAGATTGCAAATAATGGTAAAATGATAAGTCACTCATCGAAAGAGAGGGCTTACCTCTCCGTAACACACTTTCCACGTGAAGGTTCTATTTGACCTTCTATTTCCTTTTCAAAATATTGACCAAAATAAGAAGATCGACTTTTCTATCAAATTTAGCTAATTTGATAGCTACACAAAAGGAGGACTAACACATATGAGACCCGACAACAAGTTAATGTAAGATATAACGAATTTATGTGTAAACTCACGGCGAGTAGTATAATACTGCGCAGTAAGCAGCGAATTCGTTTTGCGCTCTCGCGCAGAATAACTCATTTGATGTTAACTAAACATGATGAACTAGATTCCGAGACGCGTACAGGATCACTAGTGCTACGAGTCCGAGATTGTCTTGGCAAACATATACTCGCTAATTTATAATCTCTCTCCGGAGACCGTTCCGGAGACAGAGATGCACCATACTTGATTATACTTGAAGAGAATTCCTTCGCTGAAGGAATCCCCCATTCTGGCGAAATTACAGAAATCTTCCGCAACTATAATGTGGAAAACGTGTTAATCGAGCTCGGTCACCTGTTATTAATAAATTTGCAAACATATGTATTTTAAATAAAAAAAAGTCGCGAAGCGTATTTTGGATAAAGTTCCAGAAACTTGAAAAACGTGTGTTTTACACAACGCATATATGTTGCAATTTGAGAATCAAGATAAAGTGTTCGAACAAATGTTAAATCATCGATGATAAAAAAAAAAAAAATTATTGCGTAGATATAAGGCAACGAAGAATATCATTACACAAACCGCACAGTTGAGTACTCAAACATAAATATTAATCTCTCTCTCTCTCTCTCTCTCTTTATTGCACAATTCAAAATCTCTATTGTATTAATTATACAATATAGTACCTAATTGAGATGTGTATTTCTCTCATCATTCTAATATCGGTATTTGCCGGCATTTATGCTGAGATAATAGCGACTATGAAGATCAAAGAACAATCATATATAATCATACTTGAAGCACGTCCGACTCTTCCGTCTAATTGCAGAGCTTTATTGATTCAAAGACAAATCACATAAAAGAGAGTTATTCTTTTTTATTAAACGTCAAACTTATCAAACTCGCATCTCTAAAAGTTTTATTGTGATTATTATTATTATATATATATCGCGCTCGGAGAGATAATTAAATTTTGTTAAAACAAGATTCACGTATTGTTAGTCAAACTGAATCTTACTTATAGTAGATATTTATGATATGTTTGAATTAATGATAAAAGTATGAACAGATAGAATTATGAAATAATTAACGTAATTCAAATAGAGTATACTTATAATTTTACTCTTAAAATCTACAAATATTTGTTATATTCACCGATACAACTATTATTTCATTCATGTCATGCGTTGTAAAAAAATTGCACTTTCAACGCTAACAAAGCTTTAATTATAATATTATATTCTATTCATGATAGCGCGATAAAAATCTTATTAATATACTTTGAAGCTAATACAACCGTTTTACTTCAGTTTCTCGTGAGAATTTATTTGTTTTGATTGTTGCAATAATATCATTTACATAAATATCAATTGTACAGTTAATCAGAATTGATTATTGTCTCTTTCACAATTATGTTACGTATTTAAAAAAAAATCGAGCACTAATTATAATCAATATTGTAACTTACAAAAATAATTCGTAATAAAATGCAGTTGGAACACATTAACAATAATTACAAACAGAAATAAGAAACAGAACGCAAGTATTTCATTTAGACAGTAAGTTACAAAATATATTCTGTTAAAGTAGATGTTTTATTTGCATCTTCATGTTGTCAAAAAAACTAAAGTTTGCAACGATCTAATAGACAAATTTTGCACAAAAAAATGGCATCATGAATAACAATGATTTTGCAATGATTGCACTAAGATGATTTGCCATATCGTTATTCTTTTGCCGAAATAGTGTTTGGAAACTAATTTTTCAAACAACTACAAATATTTTATAAAAGATCAATGTTTTTACACATCTACTTCCTAAAATATATCTGTATAGTTGCAAATTACAATTTTAGTGCAAGATTTCGTCACATAATTTTGTAAATGGTTTCCTATCAGGGTTATTGTGACATGTGATTAACTGTTATCTTCATCTGATACGCATGATATTCTTGTTTTGATAAAACAAGTTGTTTAATTTTATCTTCGTATATTGTACTTATTTGTATTGTTGAAAATCTAATTGTTGTTGTAGGATTTTGGTCGTAAAACAAATGTAACCGGCTATAAAGAACAATTGAAGTAGAACACACTACACTCGATTAATCTCTTTTGGTCGCCAAACTCTCGATCTTTCGATTTTTTTTTTTCTACATTGCTCTATATTGCTGACAAATGAATCGATAAGTTGCCATAGAAAATTATGATAAAGCTAACATATTGGTAGATATGTATTAATTACATTGCTATTTGTTGCATTTTTTTTGCGTGTGTTAACTCACTTCATCAGCGTAATTCATTGATATTTTGGCAAGTGTTTATTTGCCAAGCATATATATTGCCGAGCCGTGTATACGATTACTTGACTGGTAAACGATTGTATTGATAACCGACTCTACATGTCTCTGCAAAATACCGTTTTGTATCATCGAAAACATGGCGACATATAGAATTTTCGCGCGAGTTCAATCAAAAAATCAACTTTGTCAAGCGATATTCTACCGTTGTGTAAGTTGATCAGCATCACCGACTGATGCAAAATAATTGTACTGACACACATTTTACCGACTGCATTGATCAACTTCTGTCCTTCGGTCAAACATATGTAATTTTACACGGGGTGCATATTCAACATTTCTTTTTCGTCACAAATCATCTACCTCTATCTTAAGAAGAGGCTTTTCACGTGAGCAAGAAAAAATTCGGAATAATCATAAGATCCTTACTATATATCGTCACTCCTTCCTTGGCGAAGATATACTTTTACCCATCAGTAAAACACAGCAAGATCGGTACACAATCTCCGAATGGCATAAAACACTGTATCGCGTTTCGGACACACGTATTTTTTGTAAAGTCACTATTAACTTTCTATGCGGTAGACATCGTGAAGTGACGTATTTCTATCGGCGAAACGCGTGTTCGAGTTAATCATAAAGACCATACAAACCAAAAGCGAGTGAACATAAACTTCACAAAGAACAACCCAATTCCCCGGACGGGCGAGAACTGACTCGACAGGGGTAGCTACCCTCACAGATATACAATGATCGGGCGCGCGCATGTGCTGCATCGAGGGTAACACCGCGCCACGCTGCGGATCTGGTCAGCGCGATGCGCTAAAGAAACGCGCCGATTGGTTGATTACGCGAAAGTGAGCCACCAGCAAAGAAGAAAGTTGGTTTCTCGGCCAAAAGTGATAAGGGTCTACATAGAGTCAGACGCGGAGAAGCTCGCGGTTGCGTCGGAGATTTTTTGAAGATGTCGATTGAACGCTAGATTGATCCTTCTTTCTCTCACGTTCTTTTAAATAACAAACATTATAATTAACTGGGAAGAAATTGATTAAATTTATTCTTGAACATTGTGCGAATAAAAACTAAAAATTTATGGATATAATTTAACGTACGTATTATTACAATATATATATATGTCGAAATATTGATTTACTATTAAAATATTGCATGTCGAAATTGGGCGCTAGAAAAACGCATTCTTTGAAAAACTTCTAAAAGACCTACTGTAAAAATGTTTTTTACTTTTAAAATTTTTGAAAAACAATTTTTTTCCTGAAAATAAGAGATTCCTTGCAAAACTGCGTTGGAATTTTGTAAAACTTTTCATTACAAAACAAATGATAAGTTTTTAAACAAAAAGCTTCTTTTCGAAAGAAAATTGTCAGGTTTTTCTTTAAATGTTTGTATCTTCAAAATTACTAAATACTTTTTTTATCAACATAAAATTGTTCAAACTTTTAATTCAAAAAACAAATTTGAAAAAATATTGATTTTTCAGAAGAGATATTCACTCTTAAAGTCACGTGGGTCTCACAGACCCAGTCTGTCCAATACGTAGGTCATTTTTGAAGTCTGTCTGTGAAGAGTTAAAACAACTACATAGTATTATACTACTACATATTATTATATGAGATTCGCAACGTTTGTAATAAATATAAAGGTATAATAACAAAAAGAAACACCACTTTTTTATAGAAATCGATTTGCGTTTGTGACAAAAAGAAAGTTCTTGTTTTTCTTTACAAAATTTCACAGATATAATAAAAACAGCGTGAAATTAATCCACGAGGTATGTGAAAAATAAAGACAACACGAGACAAAATCTATGACTCTCATAAAGCTACGTATTTTATTTTTTACAATTCCATTTCTCCAGAAGTTTTACACTCGTTGATGTTATTTTTTTCGTCAAAACGCCGTATTGCGTTTCCAGAAGCTACAGACAAAGCGTATAAAAAAAACTGTCGCTCGACAAATCAAAGAAAAGCAAAAGTAATCAAAGTAATGCGAAGGAACGAAGTGCTTAATTTACGTCACACTGGAGTAATACGTCGATGACAAAATGTGAAATTCAGTAGAAAATATTCTTCCAGTCGGGCAGTTCTCATTTCGAAAATAACGTGACTGTGTGTAATTTATATTATATATAACATTAAATAATACATATTATACATATAATTTATTATATATTTATAATATTATACTTTATATTGTATTATATGTATTATATACATACTACAGAGTAATGTCACTGACCTCGGCCGCGCGGCCTTGACGGGGTCACTGACCTCGGCCGCGCGGCCTTGGCGGGGCACTGACCTCGGCCGCGCGGCCTTGGTGGGGGCGGGGTCACTGACCGCGAGCGCGCGGCCTTGGTGGGGAGAGGGTCACTGACCGCGGTCGCGTGACCGCGGCGGGTTACTGACTTCGTTCACGTGATTACGGTATATATATATATATATACATTCTATTTCTCATTTTTTGAGTTTGATTTTCATGCGTTATTTCTGACATTTCTCATATGTGTATTATATGGTTTATAAGACGTATATACTATCTGTCATCGCGGTGACAGGTTGTGTTCACTGACAACACGTTAAATAAAAATAACACAATAGCGTGCGCGTAGCGCGCGCCTGTGTTGTGCTATAATAGAAAAAGTAAATAGCCTGTAGACATCTAGTGATTATTTAGTGGACATTAAAGAGCCTTCTACAATGAGCCTTTAAATGTTGGTAAAACTGGAATTTGTGACAGATTAGGTTAGGTTAGTTTAAGTTAGGCAACTATATTCCGGCTTATAAACAAAATTGTTTATGTGGTAACAGTAAGAATGAGACGGGTGCGAAATGAAAATTATGTAGTAGAGTCTCAACATTAATTAAAATAAATATAACACTTTTTTTGAAAAGTAAATTATTGATATAACACAAAAATAGCAATAAAGAGAAGTATCTTTCTTATCAGAGAAAGATGAAACTGACCACGTTAAAGGGCATTTTTCCAGATCCTAGTAAGTATTAATGTTGCAAGAATTATATATAGTTAAATGTTTATAAGATTGTAAGTGTTTATAATGTTACACTGTTAATAGAACCAGTCAGAAGAAAGAACTTTATTCAGGAAAATGTGAGAAATCTTCGGCGAATAGAAAAATGTTTTCAAGCAACTAAACAGGTAGATGAGCTACAACAATTGCAGTTGCATAAGAATCACAGACCTGTAGACAAATATCAAAATATATCAGCTAAAGTTGTCACTAGTTCCTGTGAGAAAAAGAACCACAAGAGTAATAGTATTGAGTCAGTGTCAAAGAACAATGTTGATCCAATATCATCCGATAACATAGAAAATGCAAAAGAAATTCAAAAGAATAGAGTTAATACATCTAATACAGACAAAAAGCATGTTTTTACTAAGGAAATTATTAGATCGGGGAACAATAATACTATAGTAGGTAACCAAAAAAAAACTACTAAACACAATAATCGGCAGAAACCAAAGATTTTATCTGAATCAAATGTCTTGTGCAAATCTAACAATGTTGCAAAAGATGCAGATGCACAAAGTACCATAACATATAGAAACCAAGGAATTCAGACTTTAGATACAGATCAACTAAAAACTATATATTCTGAAGGTACTATTCGGTAAGTGTATGTTCTAAAGGATATCACATATATATTTCATTTTAAAATAGTGTAGTAATGTGTAATAATAAAATATTAATAATGTGTAAAACTAAACTTTTTGATAAGAGTAAAATTAGAAAAAAAAAACTTAAAAGTTTTAATTCTTTATATATATGTATATATGAGATATACTTTATTTATATGTGTAAGATAATACTTTATTTATACATATGAGACCTCTCTCAGATACATGTTAGATGATTAATTGATTTGATTTTTGGCAATAGATATCCTTCAAAGAAAAGTACAAAACACAATGATGTTATAAATCAGGAAGAGAAAAAATACTCGAAAAAACAATCTAGTTCTCTTACAGAAAGAGATGATGTGCATAATAACGAAGAGAAAAAAGTGGATCTATGTGATACTGTATCACCGGCTCCAAAAGAAGAAACTGACTTTATTAAATTAAATAAAGAGCGCACTTCTGTTGCTAATAAGTTAGCAACGCAGCTTAACAACGGTATACCACCTACAAATTATCGCAAAGGCGTTGTTCCTAAGTACGATCATTAGTAATTTTGTTTTGTTTTTTCTGACTAAATTAAATTTTACTTCTCTCTCTCTCTCTCTTTTTCTCGCTCTTCCCCTTTTTTCTCCCCTTTCCTCTTCCCTCTTTCCCCTTTTCTTTCTTCTCCCTATTTTCCATTTCCTTTCCATTCGGTTTTATAACTATAATAATTTTTATACTTATATATAATTCCTATATATATCTTTCTCTTCCTACAATATATATCTAGCTAAACTTACAAAATGGCAATGTTTCGAATTTTTTTACATATAACTACAGATAAACAAAGATATAACGTTGAAATATGTAAATATCACGTATTTTTTGATCACAAAAAATACGTAGCTATTTATAATTGTCATAACTAGGTATCTTCGAGATAGAAAAGAAGCGCATGAAAAGGAGCAAAAGGCAAAAACAGAAGCACTTCATCCTGACTGTCCGGAGGGTCATGTGTCCTTACCTGATCACGAACGCAAAGAAACATTGCGATTGTTAAAAAAAAGTATGAATTCTGCAAATACAAGTCAAATTCGCAGTTAATATTATTTTGTTCGTAAAGCTTGCATATTTAATCAAAATGTCTTTGACGCAGATTATCAAGAATATGTTAACGAATTAAATATGATGCCCATAAAAACAGATACTCTCAGAGCACAGAGACGCAAGGTTGAGATAGAAAAACAATTGAATAAACTCGAAGAAGGGATTAAGATATTTTCGCGTCCAAAGGTGTATGTGAAGATAAATGTATAGATTGTGTTTTTAAAGATATACACAGCTCTTATGTTTGAATATACTGATCGTGCATGTTCAACATGTGTATTGTTTCTAATGTAATATAAATGTTTTGTCATAAATTATAGCGAGAGAAAATAATTGTATACATACTTTTTAATGAAATTGACTAGTTTGATTTGATTTGTGTCAAGTAAACTTTTTGAAGAAACTATGAAAAACATATTATAAACACGCATTTATACTGTGTTTCCGTACAAAACAGCACTATTATAGATTTTCACGATAACTGTAGATACAAAAGCATATCTCTCATATTGCTACATAATAATATATAATAAATAAAATATTTTATTTATTTAGTTTAACAATGCTAAAAATGTACTTTATTTCTGCAATCCATTTTATTTTGTTCATTCTTTGTAACTTTTGTCAACAGTGTGCATAAAGGATATTGGATCAAAATGCAATTTTCCTAACTTAAAAAATATCTCTTCATTTTCATACCAGCTCTTCATATTAAATTCTTTAAAAAATATTGTTATCTCTTTTTCTGCAGATTGTATGGAATCTGAAGTATAACATATTATCTTTTTTAGATACATATATATGTATATAAATATCGAGTTGTTCAGTCATTTAACAAATTGTTTGTTATTATGGCTTTTGTTACCAGATCCATGTGCAGCATTTTTTGTATCAGAAAGTCCAAACATTCCTCTAATAGTATTTGGTGCATCGTATTGTGCTTGATAAACCTTAGTTGGGCCCATCAACTGTCTCCACTTGAGAATAGCATCATGTGCTGTCAGAATGTGGATGTCAGATGGTTCGCTGCACATGAAAGTCAAGAGTCGATTGTAAAAAAACTTGTTTCTGTGTTCCTTGTAAAATAACTCAGCCTCTTCACGAGTTATTAGTGTCCTGCGCGACCTGACAACCTTGAAATTATTGTCTAATATGATATCACGAATTTTCTAAAAAATCAGAAAGAAATTTCAGTCATGATCTCAGTTGGTTTCTTTGACAACAAACCAAACTGATTTGTTCATTATTTCTCAGAAATAAACCCATGTTATTTAGGCTGTATTCTGATACGCATAGCTAGTATTAGAAATCTGTAGTACATGAGTACGTAAATTATAAATTTTTAATACTGGCAGTGAATATCTGTAGCTTTTTTGTGAAAGATGAAGGTTGTACCTGAAGAGCAAAGGGACATTTGAGGATATGCGGTTTGAGTATTGCCAGAGTTAATTGAAGATTTCCAGATTGCATGTCAACATTCTTCGAATTACTCACAAATTTAAGAAACTATGCGAGAACACATTATTTGTATAGAAACAAGAATGCAAAAAGATTTGGGTTTTGATACATTTATGGCCCGCAAAAGCTAGTTCATACGCTAGTGTGTCTAAATTTTTTTACATATTCTCAGAACTACCAAACAATACACATTAGACGGCTGCAGAGAGAGTGCAGAGTTGCAAGATCGAGCCGGGAGTATCTCCAAACACTTTTTCGAAACTTAGTTTTGTTACGCAAGAACAGCGCGCAACGTCAGTAACGTTTCTCGCCTTGTGGCCGGTTTGGTGGGAAAGAGACGAAACATAGCACGTCAGACTTTTCATGCTTAAGCGAACATTTATCTATAGTATACGTGACATATATTATAGATAAATGCGCGATTAAGCATAAAACGGACCGCGGCCATTTAAAGGACTTTACATTAAACTAACCTCTCTTAACTGGACACCGGCCTATTGGAGTAAAACAATTTGAATCACATAGAAAAAGAAATTATTTAAATTTATTATTTTTTTAATTAATTCTAATTTTTCAAGTTTTGCGTGCACACAATTAGTGTAACTCATATAGAGTATAATGAGACTGATCGTCGTATTTATCTTCGCTGGTTTAATTCATGTTTCTGTCAGCGAAGACTGTAAAGGATGCATTTCCTTAGATTCTTATTCATTCGACAAGGTATGAAAATGTGAGTTAATAATTTTCAGTGTTGAATAAATGCAAACTGAAATCTTAGAAATTACTGTATAACATATATATATATATTTATATAGATGATCTCAAAGTTTAAAGCAGTACTCGTTAAATTTGATGTTGCATTTCCATATGGTGGCAAACATGAACAATATGGGACTTTGGCAGCTGATACCAAAGATTCGCAGGACCTGTTAATAGCTATAGTAGGTGTAAAAGATTTTGGCAATAAAGAGAATTCTGATCTTGCACAACGATACAATATCAAAAAGGAAGACTTTCCAGTAGTTTTGCTATTTGTCCAAGGCAAATCTGAGCCCGTTAGATTCATTACTGAGAAAGATTCTGATTTTACTGGTGAAAACTTGAAACGATTTATCAGATCTAACACCAATGTATATTTGGGTTTGCCAGGATGTGTAGAAAAGCTGGATAAGTTAGCAGAAGAATTTAAAGTTGCAGAAGAACAGGAAAGACAGGTAATAAAACTAACAAAATTTGTGTGTGTGTGTATGTGTGTGTGTGCATGTGTGTTGTGTAAAACTAAACTACAAAAATATGTAATTTTATTTGAAGAAAATATTAAAGAAAGCAAGAATCTTTGAAGAAACTTTACCGGAACAACAACAAGAAGCTGCAAAAATTTACATAAAAACCATGGAAAAGATTTTAGAGCGAGGAAATGTATTTGTACAAACAGAAGAGACACGAATACAGGGTCTTCTTTACAGAGGAAAACTATCTGATCAAAACAAACGTGCAATAGAAGAAAGACGAAACATTCTACAGTCTTTTTCAATAAGAGACGAGCTGTAGATTTGTTGAGATAACTAATAATTATTTATAATTGAAATTTTTTAGTCCACGCAGTATTTATATTAATTTACAATTGGTTTTTATATACTCGAAGCAAGTCATCACTATCGTCACTCCTTACGTATAATCCCGTAACTCCAAAACGCAAGTTTTAGAGGAAAGCAGTTTAAAAGTTTAAAGCTTCATGTTTCCCTAGTTAAAGGATCTTTCGGTTTCAAATTTTTACCGTACTTATGAATATTTTTTTTTTTAATATTTGGTGACCATATAAAGAACATGATTTTCTAAAAGTGTCACTATGCAATAAACTGAGAAAATTCCGTATATGTGACACTTATATAATTACACGTAGGGAGTGTAAGATATTATGTGCACAAGTAACAAGAAATAATGTGTGCTGATATTTAAAATAGTATAATAATATTACATTACTTGGTCTTTTGATAAGAGAGAACGGAGTAATGACGCTCACTTAAGAAAATCTATTAATATCTTCATAGTTTTTCATCGAATATATATACTCTTTTTGTTATTCATATATGCTTATACCTACGTTATTTTAAATTAAATTTTATAGAAAGTAAAACATTAGATAAAGGCTGCGTTCGGGGAACACACTATCTGCATCATTCTATCTTTGTCGCTCATTAGATGAAAAACAAAGACATAAAGCAAATAGCGGGCTCCGCAAATGCAGCCAAAAAGTAATATATATCATTCAGAATTCTTGTAATTGAAGTGATCGGTCCGACTCGTTGAGCGCCGTGGCTGTTTTCGCAACATTCTCTCATAGTGAAGTGTTTTATTGTGTGTGTTTTCTATCACAAAATATAATTTATACGCTTATATGTATATAGCTGTTTTGCTTTACAAACAGAACATGCAATCAATAATTATAAAAAATATACAAGTCATTTATTAAATGAGTATGAAGGAACTTTTATTTTATATAAAATAACGTACATACTGAGTTTTCCTTATTGTTTACACAAGTTCTCGCATTCATTCCAGTACTGCCATTTTGTGTTACTCTATTGTCAAAAGTTTAATATATTTATATAAATTTTGTTATACCATACGATGTTATTCGTGTCAAATTTAGATTTAATAAGAAGATAAATATATCTTTTTTCGTCAATGATTACTAAAGTATTTATCTGTGTGCTCAAAAGATAACGATTATATAAAATGAGCATCTCCAGTCTATTGAAATATAATTGCCTATTTGAATAAAAACTTCGATATTGTTCATATATAACTATTGATATATTTCGTAACTTTTCATTTTTTTTTTTTTTCATTTTTATCCTTAACTTTCAATTTTATGATATTATCGACATGATGTTTCGCTACTTTTCATTTTTTTTCTTATCTTCATTCTTAACTTTTAATTTTGTGATATCATTTGTTATCTCTTCCACCGACTCATTCTCTTCGTTGTTCTTTATTGCATCTTTCTGGATTTCTTTTTCATCTTCTTCAGTTTGCTTAGACAATTTGGTTTGGTTTTCATTACTAGTGCTTCCGCTATTACTCACATCACTGTCGAAATTTACCTCATTGTTACTTTCAATACATTTCTGTTGCAAATTAGTTTTGCCAGCGTACAATTCACATTGAGATACTACAATCTTCTTAGCTTTTTCGAAAGCTTCTTTCCATATAGTCGCATCTAAAGCGAATAAGAAAAACCAAAAAATGTTATTTTAAATATTTTCGTGTTATACACGCACGTATACATATTACGTACACATATTATATATACATAATGCGTGTGTGTATCCATATATAATTTTTTAAATTTTTTATATAGTTTAGTGATATGTATATTTTCATAACTTACTTTCAACATTTGCAAAGCGTATTGCAAGTAATTCAGGTTTAAGTTGTTCATCGGCATAATCAGCGAGAACACTCCAAACCCATGCTCTATCGCTACCACAATTTGGTTTCAATTCCATCCACGGAGTTACAAAATGATTAGCACAAATTTTGAGAGTTTTATCCCTACGCATGACCACTCTAACCGTATGTTTTGTTTTATGTCTTAATAACTTAATCTCTCCTGTTCCGCGTTCTTTCCATTCTGCTGGATTACTTGATGTATCATAACGATATAATTTTGCTCGCCTAATAATCATATAATATAGCATAAGTATGTATATATTTATTATAAAATTCATATTACTTAAAGTTAACTTACAATTTTACCATCTCAGCTTCATCTTCTTCATTATTGGAAACTTTTATTACAGGTAATGATATTACAGGTTTAAAATTTGCATCATTTTCAGAACTTTCTTCCTCATTAGTCTGGGATACATAGTTTGTATTTTTCACATTAATGTCACCGCTTAGCTTAAAAAAGAAAACAAACTTTTTTAAAGCGTTCTAAACTAATTTGTGTTTTGATTATAAAAGCTTTTGTTCTATCAAACATATAAAAGTAAAAACTAAATTGTTTTTAAATATACACTTAAACGTTTACAATATGTATGGATAATAACAATATATAAAAAAATATTTTTATGATTTAATAATTCTATATCAAGATAAAATACATATAAAGTGGAACTTAGATATAATTGTGTGCATGTGTGTGTGTGTGCTATTATATATGTAATTTTTTTTCAATAATAATTTGTTCAATATTCTTCACGCTATATACACGCTGAACATAACCTTATCGTAATGCAACGTAAACAAAAATCAAAGTTTGTGTAGCAATAAAAAAATAAAAATTTAACAAAACTTAAAATATTTTATACATTTTCTGGCATTTTTTATATCGGTAGTAGAAGTAAGATACAACAATCGGAAATTGTTCGATTAATACAAAAAACTACACCACAAAAACAACAAAAGACCTATAAAAGATCGGAATTTTTGCTGATTTGGTGGTTGATTTGATGGCATTTATGGCTTCTTGGCTCGTAAGAGCCAGTCCATACGCCAGTCTGTCTCTTTACCAGAAGAGAGAAGACCGAGAGCGGCCGTGCCATTGTTGTTTTTTACGACTGTTTCCAGCCGCTGCTTTCAGCGCCGGGTTCCACTTTGCGTGGAATTCGCGAACTACGAAACTAGTTCCACTTTCCGCAGGCGCATACGATACAAATGTATCTTTACTTATCGACAGTAAAGTGGATGTAGCACGGATTCAAACCGAATGAAAGTGAATTTAGCACGGACTCTAACCGAGATACATTTTTATCGTACGCGCCTGAAAGTAAAACTCGTTTCGTAGTTCGCGAGTTTCACGCAAAATGGAACCCGGCGCTGCAAGCAGCGGCTGGAAACCGTCGTAAAAAACAACATGGCTGCCGCTCTCTGATTGCAAGTCATTTTTGCACCAAACCGACAAACCAGGAAGCGTACTCATCTGTGTCGGGCTTGTGTTTAAGTTGACGTGACCACGATCGCCTTGTGGCAAGTAAATCCTATACTCAATGAGAGAATAGGACGCTCATAGGAAAAGCGGTCGAGGTGGGGATATATCGCCCCGACGTTATTCAGTACCCGTATAAACATAGATACAGCACGTTCAGGCCTGTTCTACAATACAGTCGTGAGAAATTGACCAATCACAGACTGATCACAGAAGAATAATCGATTGCGATTGGGAAACTTGCTCAACCAGCCACATGGAAGTAATACATAATATGCTTCTGTCGATAACATATTTTCTAACCTCAAGACTCATCATTTTCACTGTTCGAGAACTTTGGTATCAACTAACCGGATCATCGATCACAGTGGGATTATAATCAGAAAAAAAAAAAACTTAATGTAACTCACAAAGCAGCGCGTCGCTTTCTATTTTTCACATTTTGTTTTACACAAAGTCTCTCTATCGAGTTTCAATAATATATAATTGTTATTCAGAAAATAGATGTGAATCAAAATACAGCATCATGGCAGATCGGTTAACGCAGTTACAAGATACTATAAATCAAGTAATACAAAATTTGTGTCTGGTGTGCGTACGCACATATACACATACACACACAGTGTGTGTCTATAAATACATTTAATACTTTCAGCAAGCGGAACACTTTTGCAACAGTGTTGGTATTTTACAACAATATTCAACACCCAGCAAATTTCCTGGTTTCGATCGTATCGGAACTCCACAGCCACATCAGTCTCAAGAAGGTAAAAAAATACAAAGTTCTATTCTCTTTAAATCCGCAGACAAAAATCTTAGATTTTGATTTTTTTAGATTACGCTGCTCTATTTGCCAATCTTATTGCGAGATGCGCAAAAGATATAGACACGTTAATAGAGAGTTTGCCAAGTGAGGAATCTTCTCAAGAGCTTCAGGTAGCCAGTCTAAGTCGACTTGAGCAAGAAAATCAACAGGCCGGCGAGCAACTGGAGGAAGTGGTGAGACAAGGAGAAGTGTTGCTTCAACGGATTCAAGCTGCTCTGCAGGATATCGCACAGAGTCAATTGGACATGCAAAATCCCATGTCGACACCTGTAATTAATGTGAATTTTAACAATATTACTATAAAACAAGAAAGTCTGAATTCTATAAACACTTCAAATAACACATTGTCAGATTCTTCGTCTAGTTCAATAAGTCAATGACATATTTGTGCATTGTTGGAAAAAATTATTTAATAAACATGTTAAGTATTTTTAGAATCTTTATATCTCTTATATAAATATGATAAAAATATTCTTCTAATCTTTGATTGACGCCATTTTCACTGTAGCTTCCCTACTCCTGCGGAAATAATCAAAGATGTCGCCTGTGTACTGGAAAGCACCCTTATAGTCAAAGCTGTGGACATAGCACGGAAAAGAACCAGACGTGCGGGCATAGCGTACGGACTGACAAACCGCTCGCGGATATGGCTACGTAGTTGTTGATGTGCACCATCATTGACATGGCGCTAGCGAACACAAGCGGAACACAGCTGAAATGCTGCCGTGGCCAATCTCAGTCTCTTCTCTGATGTAATTTTTTTATCAAAATTTAGATAATTGAGAAAAAAACTGCCATAAGATTAAATTTTCTACAGGAAACATTGTTTATCAATTGTTGATAACTCATTTATATAAAAGTAACGCGGTTAGAAAGTTCTTTTTATTGACCGAACATGTGGTAGGGTCGTTCGGCCATGGTCGGCTTTGTTCGATAGTCAATTTTCTCAGTGTCTGCCGAGCGTGCGTCGTGTATGTTTATTGTCTTTGCTTTACTCTTGTCTAGTTTTCTCGCATCGCGTTCCGTTCAGTTTTCTCTGTATTGCGCCGTCGCGAAACGCGTCGTACACGTTCGTCTGATCTCCGTATATGTACAAAATATCGGGCAATAATCTCGCGCGACGCGACAGAGACATTCGTGTTTCGTATTTTTTTAGTGGTTCATATTGTATCGTGTAAACCGTTTTTTTAACGCGCTGAGTTATATAGTTGAAGAGAATTCTTTTTAAAGTAAACAACCAACGCACGCAAAAGAGAAGGAAACTCACGGTGTTAAAGAGCTGAGAGTTTTTTAAATCTTTGAGGTATATGTATGCGATACATACGTGTGTGTGTGTGTGTGCGTGTGTGTACGGTGTGTATATATGTGTATGAGTGCGCGCGCGTGCGTGCGTATATGCGTGCCCGCATACATGTTTTACTTTTGAACTTTTGGCCACGTCTCTTTGCTGGAATGCAGTTACTACCACCTGTTGGTCGTGGAAAAGTGCAACAACTTGTGATAGATGAGAGATGATTCGAAAATTGCACGACACACATGATCTGATTTATTTCATTTCAAATACAATTTATCTAAGTAAAACATTTAGAGTACAACTTTAGATTCTGATTCAAAAACTAGTGCGACGAATTGAAAGTAACTTCACGGTCAGGCTGTATGTTGTACACATACACAGTTGATTCATTAATATATTTTCTAAAGTTGCATCAATTCTCGATACAAGTCGAAGTTCGGAATAAACTATGTTCTATTATGCGCATTCTTTCTATATCTAAATGTACATACATACAGTCTGTACCGTAAATGTCTAAACATGAAGCTGCACTATAACAATATCTTAAAAAACAATAAAAAGCATTATTTAATATCATGTGCTTAAGCGCATTTACGATATTCTGCATTTACATATTCTATATTTACATATGTAAATGTAGACAATATTTTTGACTTGACATATGCATATGTATATATTATACATATCTGGTTACATATATATAGATATATATAGGGTGTCCGGAAGATCGTCCCCTGTACTTCGAGAAGTGATTGGGAATCCAAAAAAAAAAAAAAAAAAAGCTATACGAACACATAGGTCCGGAAATAAATCGTTTCCGTAGAAAAGAGATGCAGCCACTTTTATGTTTAAAAATCGTAACTTGGTCTTCATAATTACAATCATAATAATCATAATTTATTTTATTGTGTTTTAACATAAATAACTTCATGCCGGACTTGATTTTGATAGAAAAATAAAGGACCTACATTCGTGCTGAAGGTGGTCGTTTTGAACATCACATTTAATTCGATTTAAACGTTTGTTTATCTTTGATTTTAAAGATAATGTAATCGTATTTACGAGTATCGCAAAATTGAAAAAAGTTAAGAAATAAAAAAATAAGAATTGAAAAATAAAAAAAAGGAATGCCAAAGCGGACACAAAAGTGACTATAAATTGTTTTTCGAGTTACAGTCACTTTTATCTTTCTTTTTAGACCAACTTCCCTGATCACTTCCCGAAGTATTATGGATAATTTTCCTTGTATATATATACAAGGTGTCCGACAATTACTTTAACATCTCTTGTAGGCAAGTAGAAGGAATAAACCTGAGTCGCGAAAAGTCCTATTACATTTTTCGAATACCATTTTGCGAGATTCGCAATAGTTATCGAGATCTTAATTAACAAAGTTATCCGCAAATAAGTATGCACATCGGGCTGTGTCTTAAGCGCGACAGACCTGACGCGCTTTGCGCGGTTATCTTTTATTATGTATATGTCATAGAGTACTTATAGGTATGCTGTTATATGTTAGCTCTTTCCATACATTGCTACGGGTAACATCGTGAGCGCGCGAAGCGCGCCGGGCTTGTCCTAAGCGCGTAAGACACAGCCCGATGCTTACTTATTCACGGATCTTTGTTAATTGAGATCTCGGCAACTATTGCGAATCTCGCAAAATGGTGTTAGGACTTTTCGACTCAAGTTTACACTTCTACCTGCCTAAGAGAGATGTTAAAGTAATTGTTGGACATATATATATATGTATGTATATATCCTCCATAAGTTTGGAAACACCTTAAGTTTTACAGGTAAATAATCACATGACGATTTGTGTTTGTTTTCGGTTTGAATACATTGTAAGACGTACAAATGATAAAAATTTTTATCTAGGACACTTATAAATCTGTACATGCCAAAACTTATATCGGACAATCATTTCGTGGCGTCAAAGCGCTCAGAGTTGAATTTCGCGCGCTAGTTTGTTGTTTATCTATTGTTATTACTTACTTGTTTTGCGATATTATTTATTTTCTATAAAACTATAATTGAACAACTTCATACGATGTACCGTTTCTCTAACGTGTGTATTTACAACGCAAGTACGACGCCACGAACTGATTGTCCGACATGATTTCGGCGTATACAAACTTATAAGAGTGTCCTAGATAAAAATGTTTATCATCATTTGAGACGTGTCTTACAATGTGTTTTCAATTCAATATGATTTTTCAAGAGAGTGTGTTATATGTTTATTAAAACCTTCGGAACGAATATATATTTTGTAGTATAAAATTAACGGTGTAAAGAAAAATTCGTACACATTTGATAAAAAGTATCGAAGGATAAGTATCAAACTGACGGCAAAAACAGTTTAAACAACTTATTTTTCAATGTAATTAACACTTCAATGCCAGATATAGGTCTCCGAAGTCCATTCAAAAAGTTTTAAACCAATGTCTCTACTAGGTGTTAGTTTAGCGCGACATCTCTCTAAAGGCCATGAAAAAAAAACTTTAGTCTTACTTTGTTGGAGCCAAAATTGCTCTGTCGGATTTGTACATCATGTAGGGACTCTAAAAAAAGGCCGATTTTATGTGTACATTTCTCCAATCAAAATTCTCTCTCTCTCTCATCATCATACATCTTTTCCTTCCTCTTACATTACAACAATTAAGTAGTTTTTGTCATTACTGCAGAAAAATATCTAATTATTAATCAATAATAAAGGCTCAGCGGAGACAAACTATAAAAAACACGTAAACCAAAGAGCCATGGGTCCAAGGTGACAGTGGAAATAAATTGCAACAGTAGTTTGTGTAGATTGAATGGACGTTTAGATCCCTTTATTGTGGATCATTCTCAACACTGTATAAATAGGATCCACAATAAAAGGATCGAAACGTCCATTTAATCTACACAGACTACTGTTGTTGCAATTTATTTCCACTGTTACCTTGGACCTATGGCTCTTTGGTTTACGTGTTTCTTATCTAATTATTGTAATGTAAGAGGAAAAAAATGGTGAAGAAAAAAAAAGAAAGAAAGACTTTTGATTGAAAAATCATATGCGCAAAATCTGCTCTTTTTACAGTTCCTACATGATGTAAAAATCAACGATCATGCCGACATTTAGAAAACGATCATTTCGATATTTGCAAAACGTAGTTCTTTGTAACATCAGTGTGCTCTATATAAAATAACATCATAATTTCCTGCAAATAATGATCATCTAACTAATGTACAATAATAATACACATAAATAAAACGTAGCCAAATCGGTATTGAGGTCAGAGACTATATCTGACGATGATCTCTCTACCTAATCGCCTATCGCGCGTCCCGAAACAACGATTATTTGAAATCGCAAATCTGTCTGTCCGTGTACCGGCCATAGGTTTTGCGATCGTGATCGCGACCGCATTTTGTTTCGCAGCTGCGCAAAGCATAGAGATCACAACACATATACACAAAAAGAAAGAATCGCGGCGAGATCGCGAACGCGAATGCGATGTGCACTGGCCCGCTCGGCCATGCTCTGTTTGCCTCCACAAACGCAACTCATTATGATTCATCTCTTCTCTTTCAATCTTTCTCTCGCCTTTTCATTCTGTATTTTGCTTGCCCAGGTGTCTGTAAACGATTATTTTTGTTAATTCTTTGCAATACTCAGTGTGTCACCAAGATAAAATTATGCGGTATTTCTGATTATTTATGTACATGTATATTTTATAGTATATATTGCAGTTTAACAAAACAATGTTATTAATAAACAAGAAGCTTATTATATTTTGATTTGACAAAATGTATTAACTATTCTATAAACAGCATTATCTGACACGCGTGAAAATATTTTTCCCTATTTTAATGTGAAATGTTACTCTCTCTCTCTCTCTCCCTTTTTTAATTAGTCAACCGACTTTTGATACGGCAATCTTTTTTTTTTGTTTTTCTCGTCGTTTCATTCCGCTACACGAAACCATATGAATTCTGTGTTCGTCCGCGATCGTTAAACTATACGAAGAAACGGGTTTTGTCAGATCGTAGGAGGAAGTCTGACGTTCAGGCTTCCATTACCGTTGTAAGACTATGGCTCAGGGCCGTATTATGCAAGAGAACTGATTTGACAAACCTAATCGTTACGATCCTTTGGAGAATCTCTTCTTTTCCAGAGTGTGTTTTGCCCGAGATTTTAGACCGAGTCTCTCGCGTTTGAGGGTTCGACAAAATTTATCAAAAAATAGTTGCACAAAATGCTCGATAAATATAATTACACATAGGTAGCCGGCAAAATAAATAAAAGTTTTATTTTATATTATGAATATTTTATATTACGCAATGTATACAAATAACACTTGAAAAATTGATATTCACATAAACAACAAATGTGCAGAATATCTTTTGGAATACACATTTTAAATTCCCGAATATTTCTGCAGTTATTTTATTATAGAATTATGGCAGAAACAATAAATTGTATGAGAGAATTTTTGTTACAATTTATATAGTATAACTGCAGAAATATTCAAGAATAAAAATAAAAAAATTAAAATTTGACATAAACTTTTATCCTTCAAGTTTACTTTGCGATGTGGAAATTGTTTATAGTGAGTCTTATTTAATTTGTAGGGATATATTTATTTTTTTTGAATACGATTTATATACAGTGGCTCCAAAAAGCATGGCACACATTCACATTTAATAATAACGCACATAATGGTTTAGGGTTGTATGTCTTGTAATGGAGTTGGAAATTTAGCATTTATCGAGGAAATGATGCATACACGATGTGTCGCAAGATAATTTACTACAGAGTGCAAGATTAAAAGCCTATTTCGTAATAAAAACTTTAATAGAATTGTGTATTTCCTATATAAAACGCAAGTGTGCTAATACTTTTTTTATTATAAAATTTTTGTTTTTTTTTAACTTGCTTCAATTGCATACTAACAGTTTTTGACAAATACACTGTTTCCGTATATTATAAGACATCAATGGACATATTTGGTATTAATATATCACTTCACTACATAACGATATTACAAAAATATGGGTGTGGCAATACTTTATGGATCCACTGTATGTGTATACATATATATATATATATATATATATATATATATATATATATGTAGTATACATACATATTATATATGTGTACGTATATAATATATAAGCAAAATAAATTCTCAAATAAAATTTTTTTTGATATTTGATACTGCGTACATGAGAGTTGAACGAGTTATCACTTCGAAAGGAAACAAGATAACTAGGAAAAAGAAGCGAAAGCAGCACAAGAGATTTTGAACGTACATATCTGACTAACTCGCTTCCCGGACATCACAACAAGCGCAGCGTTGCACGCCCACATTCCGACAAGCCTGAGAAGCAAATCTTTTCACCTTCCTTTCTCTGTACGGTGCAATGTTTACCGACGTTATCATCCCACATGTTCTTTGGCAGGACATATATTTGCTTGTTTCAAGTGTTTTTCTACAATTAATCTATGTAAAAAAACTATAAAAAACTCAATAGAATATATTTTTGGAGTTTGTTTGGATATCTGTTAAACGTGACTTAAACGTTGACTTTAGCTCAAAAATTTATACTTAGACAAAAATAATTAGATGTAGCGGTCACACACGCGTCTTTCAAGCATAATTTGGATTAAATAATACAATTATCGAAAGAATTTTGCACAAAATCTGACTTTTAAAAACTTGAATTTGTCGAGAATGTATTAAAATATGAAGCTCTCAAATTCATGTATATTTATAGGCTATTATGAGAATAGTATGTTAATGAAAGTGTAAAACTCTAGAGAAATAAAAAATATGTAAAAAGTGACTGATATTGTGAACAACACAAAATATTAAATATCTCATCATTAGCTATCATTTAGCATACTATTTGGTTCCAAATTCGAGAGCTGCAAAACAGGTGATTTTTGAGATCACTCTTTAGATGCCGGCCATAATTTTAGTTCTAAAAGCGACTGTTTTTTTTTTTTTTTTGTAGTTTTGGTTTTATAGTTTTGTGTAGAGTTCTTAAAGAGTAGTTCTTAAAGAGACAATGATAGACGTATGTGTTTCTTCGGCGCTCTGCTAAAATTGTACTAATCTTAGTTCCTAGATTTCTTTTTTCACAAAGCTTCAAAATCTTTTCTGAAGCACTCGAAATATTCATCTATGTTTCTAGTTGTTGCTGAAAATATTTTTGCATAAGACCAATTTTGTATATGAAGCAAAAATGTAGTCTATGTAATAACAGTCTATAAAATTTTTAAAAACAGTTTATAAACTTTTTTTCGTTTTTCTTATAGTTCTATGTTTTATGCACTTTTTAAAATATATTTTCTTTCATTCTGAAAAAGCGTTTTTCATTCCAATTAATAGTTTCTAACAAAAAATTGGAATTACGCAATGTCGATAAAATAGGTTCAGCATTTTTTGAAAAAGTTTGAATGAAAAGTTTTACGGGTCAAAGCAAGTCAGCGTTTGCAAGATAAAACTCGATTTAAAGCTGTTATAAAAATTTTCCAAGTCTTGAAGATGAATTTTTTTTTTTTAAATTCTAAATGGTTTTCGACAAGTTCAGACAAATAGTTTTATTGTTTAAAGCGATCAGATGACTATGTAAAAGAGTTCGTGTTATTTTTGTCGTTTTTGAATATTTGTTCAATATCTGTAACTATTTTATTTGTGCCTCTGAAGTTTTTAAATTGTTAAGACGCGACTTACTCTGACCTAACATTCGCGCGTCGTACTTACGTAGTTATCTTTCTTACTTCTTATTATACCTATACAATTTTAACAAGTTTTCTTGTTTCAGATATTTGCTGTGCGTATTCGAATGACACTTGACATGTTCATGCTGGTTTTATAAGGTAAACTGTAATCACTTTTATTTGATCTAACAATTCAATATTAGAAGCAAAAACTTCGCCTATCCAAAACTTTTGCAGTTATGTATATATTTCCGCAACAAACATCCAGCGTAGGGCTGATTATCGTTTATACATTTCACGTTTTGAAACTTCAGAGCCTAAGACTTTTTATTAACTGTTCACAGATTTCGATTTACAAGTCTAATTGTTGTATAAGAGGCTGAACATTGTTTTTGACGCATTAAGAATTTCATTAAGAAATGGAACAAATTTTTAGAGAAAAAAATATGGCTAGAAGAGTTGGTTGGAAAAAATCGGATAATTTTTTTTCTGTCGGTTTGATATTAACTTGTGATAGAATCTTATGTTACAATCTAATTTTTTGGGATGTTTCAGAGGAGCAGTACGATGTCGACAAATACCGCCTCCGGCGGAGTCGGTGGAGCTCTCAGCCTAATGGGATGTATGAGAGAAGCATCACCGCCTCCTCAAAATCATCAACAGCAGAATCGCGCTTTTAACTTCGGCGAATTTTCAGCGCACAGTACTGAGTTGCCAAAAGGTATTTAAATATATCTTACTTGTTAGTAGTATTTGAACATATTGTCGCGTTTCTGCAGCGATTTCGCGCTCCTCGGTGTAATGATAACCTAAGGAAGAAAGTATAACACACATTATTTGCAAACCAAATACATAGAACAGAAAAACACGAAAAAATCCTGAGCCGCTCCGCAAATCTACCGCAAAACGCCCCGATCCTCGTTCAAATCTGCTGCTTGAACATCGGCGTCAACAACCTGTTGCTACCCGATCTTCTCCTGAATAAATGCTCCTCCATCGATCGATTGAACAACGAACTGTGCCTCTTCAATATATCAAGTGACGACACATATTGCATCTCGCAACACTATATTTTCAGTTGTGTGCGCGCGTGTATGAAAATGTGTTAGTTATAATTTTTTTCTAAATTTCCTTCTTTTAATTCTTTTTTACTTATCTCGTGTATAATGTGAAACTTATTTCTCATTTCTTGAAGCATATATTATGTCAAGCAATAGCGAGTAAAGTAACAAGGCGTATGATAAAAACCTTTTTGTATAAAGCATAAGTAATTTTATTTTATAACAACAATTGATAGAGACCGATTCGCGTGCAAATAAAGTTAAATATAACGCATACAACTAATTTTACGTACAATTATATATATGAGTATAGAATAAAACGGAAAAAGAAATGCCAGATTAGATATTAGTTTTCTATCTTTTTCATAAAACTAGTTTTCTATCTTTTTCATAAAAATTATAGCTGTAACATTGTAGCTGTTTAAACATCAGTTTAAACAGAAATATATAAACATTTTTTGTGTTATATCAAAGTTAAATTAACAGTTATATATGTTTTATCTCTGCAAAATAAGTCTTGTAATATATTTCGTGTTTCATAGCTAATCTGTGAGATTGAATCGCTTTATTAATAAAGAAACATCTGATATTACAAAACTCTGTTTTATAATGCGTTGTATATATAAATTTATATAATATCGTAATTAGCAATTATAAGTAAAAAAAGTTGCAAGATGGCTATGATCAAAATTAATGTACAATACAAAATTTAAAAACACAAAATAATAATAAGAACAATACTAATAACACTAAATATCAAAAGTGTGTTACATGGTTTTATGGAATATTGACAGATACGTTACATCAAGTAATAAAGTCGGTAATTTATGAGAGAGAAAGATAAAGAGTCACCGTAGCAAGAAGAGCAAGGCTAGAAAGAGAAATCGAATACTGGGCTTGTACTTTATAAGGTTTCGCAACTCGTGATATGTTAGCCGATAGAGTTATCGAGAACTGAGTCTCTAATCTTATCATGTGTACGACCATTTCTGTGTATGTCATACCTTATTTGTCCTCGAATCGTCAAGTGTGTGCAATGTAAAAGAAAAATGCAAAATCTTTGTTTTAGTGTCAAGAAAAATTATCTTTTCGCTAGTTACTTGTAAATTTCTTCGGTATGCATCTCTTTGATCGCTATTTATATTTCTTGAGTATAAAATAATACAATTGCTTATTAAAAGCAATCGTAAATTTTCTCGATAGCAAACTGATGAAAAACACTTTTGATCTATAATTTGATTCAAACATATAAAAACTGATATTTTGTACTAATATGATTACTTTAAAACTTTGTTTATCCAATGTATGCTAAACGTATGTACATGCAAATATATTTTTTGAAACATGTAAATTAACATGAAGATGCACATGGAGATTTAAATTAAATTAAATAGGAGAAGACACACACAGAAAACCTAAACATTCTTCCATTCAAGTTAATACAAACTCACAATGATCATTGCATTAAATTTGTAAATTTTTGTTTACTTATATGCTTTTTGTACAATTTTCTGGTTTTCGCCAAAAATGATTCTAAATATCCGTTATCGAGTGTTAATAACAACACATACATAAATTATGTAACACATTATATATATAATATATGAATAATTAATAATTTTTATGTATATATTAAGTAATACATATATATAATATATATATATCTTAAGTAATGTATTTATGTAGTTTCTGAGTATCGCAGTTGTCTCTAGTTGAACTGTTTTCCGCTTTCTATTTGTAGAATCAAAGAAGCGTCGTTTTCATCCTCTGCGCGGTCTTCGAAAAATTTTTCGGCGAAAAAGTCGCGGCGCAGCTGATATGCGTCTTGTCTTCAACTCGGGCGATCAAGACAATGACTTGACGCGCATTCCGCCGGAGGAAATAACAGTAAGGCATCCTGCAGGACGTCCAGAGGAAGTCCGCAGCAGAAGCGCAAGCGAACTCCTCACCGACTCCTGCACACGGGAAAGGTAAGAAATATCTTTTTATATGCTGATACATGATCAAAATCTTGGAAAATCGCATTTTCTTTTATTAAACTTCTTTTGTCGCACAATGCACGCATATATAGACATGTATAGACATAATTGTTACAACATTATTATGTTACAACATTATTATGTTACAACATTATTATGTTACATTATTATGTTACAACATTATTATGTTACAACATTATTATGTTACATTNTTACAACATTATTATGTTACATTATTATGTTACAACATTATTATGTTACAACATTATTATGTTACATTATTATGTTACAACATTATTATGTTACATTATTATGTTTACAATTTTCAGTGAACTAACCATCATCGAAAAGACGCAGGTTTACTGTGTCTCTCAATTCTTAAAGTTGTTGTAAAAAAAACGAGTATGATATAGAACAGAAATATACAAATATTATAAAAGTTTCAAACTTGTTGACCGTTTAGTTTAGAAAATGTAATTAAACAAAGTGCGTAACCTACGAGTTTTTTTTTTAAATAAATTGTCCTTTATGTTTTAATTGAGGAGTCATTTTTATCTTTGTAGCATATTACTTCGAAGAGACGAAGTAGAAGATAACTTTGTGAAGTTACGAGGAGGTGCCGGCAAATTGTCAGTATCGCACGACAGCGTTTTCCCGGGAGAAGTTCCTCATACTCGTCCTCTCTCTTCATTGGCGAGTCTGGCAACGCTTGAGGTACGCTTATTCTTTACATTAAATAATAATGTCACAAGTAAATTTTTGACAAATATTTTAAGCTATTTTTTTATAGATTCATGGGAAGTTATAAAAAGTTATTATTCGTGAGTTATTTAAGAAAATGCTGAAATCCTCTGTGTTTTAGAAAAAAAATTTTGAAGCTTTGAAGAAGAGAAAAATGTGACAATGAGATTTAGTGCAGTTTTAGCAGAACTGCCGGAGAGACACATACGTCTATCTTTGTCTCTATTATGTTATCTATTTTTGTTTCGGTATGACTAGAGGACGCTACTTATTGGACAGCGTAGCGGCTGAGCAGCGGCTGAATCGGACTTCAGCCGTCGCTTCCTCTTAAGGTGACAACTTTTAATACAAGAATGTTTCAAAAATATATTTTGGAAATAAGATTTCTTACTTAAACAATTTTTATTTTTTTTCTTTAACATATCTATTTAATAACTTAATGGTTTTAGATAAAATATGTTACACAAAATATTAAAGTTAATTGTTTCAATAGCGTTAGATTGAAGTTATTCACATTTTAACACTGATTATTATTTCTCTTGTATGTTTTCGAGAGATTAATGTTACATTGATGTACTTATATATATACGTGAAAGACAAGAGAAAAAAAACTGATAAAATTGTTTTCTATTGAACGATAAAACTCCAAAGAAAAATTAGAATTATTTTTAAGAACATAATTGTGATGCAGATACGTGTTTCTTATATTATTTATATACTCACGAATTATACGCATACACAATGCGCAGAATCTCGAAGCGTATTTGTTATTGTGTGAACGGTTGCAAAACCGGCGCTTTACGTCTCTCATCTCGCACGATGCATTCTAAACATGCGCAATGTGTAATCAAGTTACGCGATTACATGTTCGTAATAGACTCGTGACTCGTCTTTTAATGTTCACATCAAGACGAAGAATCGCACGTGTAATATTCGAGTAGGTAAACCAATCAAATTGCGTAAATTAATGCGTTGACGTAAACGTAATCGACAAACAAGCTGATTAAACTGGCTGTTAATGTGGATTTGCATTTTCTTGAGGAAACGCGACTTACTTTTTCTTTTTTCTATTGCACGTCGTTACTTTTTCGTTCGTCTTCTTTTCACATAAGAGTAGATTGTTATCTTTCGTGATCATTGTTCTTTATTTTCATGCGTCTCTAAGGTGCTTTGCAATAAAGCTACTACTAATTAAAAGTAAAAATATTTAATATGATGTTTATGCATATCTGAAATAATATAGAAATATTAATAGAGATATCTCTTATCTCTGTGTTGTTTTTTTAATAGAATTAATTTTTCTTATCTTATCTTCAATTTTTTTGTGTTGTAATGATTATTTTACAAGATAAAATTATTTGAAATTACATTTTGACAAATTAATTTAATAGATTGACTTGATAATATTATACGTTTTCTGTAGTATAATTTGTAATATATAACAAATGTTATAAATTGATTCAACAAAATATGATAGGTTATAATATGATTATTTCTTAATTTGAAATTTACATGTTAGAAAACTATATTTCAATTAAGAGTATAATAACTATAGTATAATTTGATTGCAACTCAACAGCTACTATTATTGCCATCGATAATTATCAAATAATTTATATCAGAAAAAACGTCACAAAAATGTAGGACAATCCTTTCCATCCTTTCTATTTTCGAGAGAAAAAAAAGTACGTTCCGTCCTAATACTTGAGGAAAGTCGTGAAGTAGTTTTCATGTTCGTGAAAACTGATCGTGCGAAAATTCTGATTGCACGAGCAGATCGAAAGAGATCGTCTTCATTTTGTCAATGCGTGTTTTCTTCGTCTTTTTCAGCGAAGACAGATCAGGAAAAGTAACGAGATTACCGAGCACAAAGAGTACAATCATCAACACAATGCACAAAGGCATCGGATATCCCTACGGGTAATTGGCGAAAACTTATTATACACCATACGTATACTCAAGTACATTTTTCTAAATCGATGCTTTTTTGTAGATGAATATTTTTTACACAAGGCTTAAGTATCTTTATTGTAGTCTTTCTATTGAAAACATATATTTCTGACAGCAATGCAATATATAACACGTTCCATATGACGTTTTATATGACAAGAACACATTAAAAACAATTTGCATTTGAAGAGTTTGTATATAAATAGAACTATTAGAGTAAAAAACTGAAAATAAGTAACCTCCTTTTCTTTCACACACAAGATACATTTTTGTAACAAAAATAAAGTGTCTGTAAAAGAATGCAACACAATCGCGTGCAGCGTAATTATTGACCGCTACTAGTGATTTTGTTTGTAGGTACTCGAGCAAATAAAACTGGTTATAGAGAATCGAAACCAACTAGCCTTGACGACTTCGCCGGATACGTCTAGTATAGCGCACGTAAGTTCAGCTAGCAAATTAATTTGCCAGATGAAAAATACACATATAATAATCTGCACTTGCCAATTTTTTGAGCAAGAGATACATGGTGGTTCTCTTTCGATTGTTCTCGATGTGTGTATTTGCGAGAAATTTGTTTAAGAAAATAATTATTTTGTGTGTACACACACATGCGTTTATAAATGAAAAAAAAAATTACGTGGCTTTTAAAAAAATTTCCTTGTTTATAAAAACAGATGGAAATTTGGAAATTTATTTGTACAGTCGAATCTCTCTATTTTTAAACGTTCTCTCCGAGGTTCTCTTCGTAATGTCACTTTCTCTTTCTGCCTTCTGTTTATTTCTTTGGCAACAATGCATTGAAATATATCAAGAGATTTTCATTCCGCAATCATATGGTGGAATTTAGCACGAGAGAAAACTTTATTCATAATTTTAAACTTTTAATCCATAATAAGAAATTAACGATACGGAAAAAATCATAATAAAATGATTCACTTGTGTTCTTATAATGATAAATGTGTTTTTATATTAATCATTATAGTTTTATTTGCCTTTCACTTTTACTAATTTTATAAACCGTAAAATTTAGAAGATAAACTTAATTTCTACTTTTGCAGTAAATTCTCGAGAACAAATATTTGTGCGCAATATACATGTAACCCTAAGAAAGTTATGCTGTTAATACGAGCGAGTTGGAAGAAAGAAGAGAAAGAGAAAAGCAGTAAATGTATATGAGAGAGAAAGAAAGAGAGAGAGAGAGAGAACAAAATTTATAACTTTGTGTGAAACCGATTGAGACTAAAAGAAAACCGATTCAGCAATTGCTGAGATATAATGAATCTGAACTTCAATAGGCAAATTGCGAAAATATTGCACAAAAATGGCATCGTGAATGACGACGATTTTGCAATAATTGCACTAAGATTGATTTGCCACAACGCAACAGTTTTGTCAAAATAAAATTTTGTAAATAATATTTGTCAAAAATTGAAGAAGAGTCGTTATTTCTATAAGTATATATTCCATGTATATTATGCGCGCCACAAATTCACGATACAAAATATTATCAATTAGCTTTTTTAAAACGTTTTATTATTAGTCTGGTATCTCATGAAAGAAAAAATGTATATCTAAGTTTTGGTTTTCTTTTTTAAAAAAATTGGGTTTTCTTTTTTAAAAATTGGGTTTTCTTTTAAAAAAATTGGTTGCTGTTAATCGAATATAATGAATTATTTCAGTCGGCAAGATTTAATGACAATGTATCGTTAATCTTATTCTGTGAAAACATCACACATATTTGCGCCATATACACATATTTGTTTAATTTTTATAAACTGTCGCTTCATTCATACAAATGAGAAATAATTTTGGATAACTACGTTCGGATAACGCGCGATTTATAGAGAGCACGTGACCTCTAATCGCGGCGCACGGTTTGACATTTGCTATGCGAACCACTGAACGTCGTTCTAAGTCAGTTTGATATTTGCTTGACATTTATTGCAACATGTAATTCTTTGTGTAATAGTATACACTTATACACAATAGTAGTACGCTTACACATGCATACTAGCAAGGTAGAATGCTTACGAGTTCTCATTGCGAGCCACGAATCAGACAATTTTTGCTATTGTCAAATGAAAATCAAATAAAAATAATCAAACGTTTTTAAATATTTTGCTGAAAAAGTAAATTCTACGTTTATAAAAAATTAAATATTATAGCGATTTATTATTGAAACATTAAGGAGGAGTAGAAAAGAACAATGATTAGATAACGATAACAAAGTAAAATAATGTAGACTTTTTATCAATTTATATTTTTTATTCTTTTCTATATTGTATATTTAATATTTTAAAGTTTATATGCAGGAACAGAGAAAATTTGGAATATTTCTAGTTTTGTGTATCAAGACAACTTTCTGCATATATTTGGATACATATACTATCATGTCTTAAAGAATTTATTATTATTTCGAAAGTCTTGTCTCGATGTAAAGTCTGTTTATCTACTTTCAATCTTTGCTAAAAAGTAGTTTAGTTTATATGTTGAAAGCGATTTGCGAAAAAAAAATTTTTTAGTCTTAACTCTTTCAATCATAACTATTTCGCAACACAAAAGAAAATATTAGCTTTACTTTTGCTCGATGATCCGATTCGATACTGATGTTCTCGCGATTGCGAATCGTTGCGTTGCGACAATTGCTATGAAAGGCTCTCGTTAATGTCTCGAGAAAGGAGCAAGAATGGTTATGGAGGTGAATGGACGATGACGGGGAGAAAATAAACTGTTTCTTGGAATGGATATTGACTTGCAACATTAATTGTAACAGGAATCATACGTAGTGTAAAATAATCGGTGCCCCGTATCGGCTTCTAACATTAGCTACGCGAGAGGACTTTACATTTCTCTTAATCGTGAAATGGCGACATCGTTTTTTTTTTTTTTAATACGCGCGATATAAAATACTCGATTGGTTTTCATTTATTAAGAAAATGTGAACATGTCGCAAATACCTAAGAAGCTTCCACATTTGTAATTAACTGACAGATAGAAATTTGTGTCTTAAATTCATCTTGTAAAGTTACTGTATATATTACAATTATTCGTGTTGTTCAATTAAATCTTGGAGATAAAGTAATTTTGGATGATTTGTAGCACATATTAGTTTTATATTTTCTTTTTTTTCATTGTATGATCTTAAATGGTCTTGGGTGAAAGATGATGAATGAAAGAGGAGAGCTCAAATAGAAAGCTTTCCATATTCCTTGCTCGAGCAAACAGCTGGCAAGCAAGAGATAGGTAATAATACCGTTAGTGCATGGCTCTTCTCTGATTCTTCATAGATCAGTCTTCGTAGATCATACTTCACCTTTCTTGATTTCTTGTCCAGAGACCATTAAGTGAATTCAGAAACGTACGGGAAATGACATCTGTGCCGGAGAAATAATGTCGGAATATAAATTGTGTTCCTAATTTTTTTTATGTGTGTGTGTATGCACACATTTATTAATGATTAACTTCTTTAATATATATTTATTGAGAACAAAAATGTGTTTGAATAAAAGATGTAAAATAATTATTGATCTTTAACAAAAGATTGTTTCTTGAAAAATGTGATTTCATATTTGAGCTAAAGATTTTTGTTATTAAAAATTCAAAAGATATCAATGGTAGAGTTACAATTTGAAAATTTTTATTAAAGTTTATCAAGTCAATGTTTCGTAGATATCAATAGATACGTTTGAATTAAGATTTGAAAAGAAATGCTACAAAGTGAAAATATGAATAGTACTTTAACATGAATGAAAAAACAGTACTAGTCACGTATAAATGTTTTTGTGTACGATCCTGAGGTTTCCACCACTTGGTCCGACTGGCACTTGCCACTTCTACTGCCGTTCAAGTCTAGCGGAACGAAAAGCCAGTATTCGCAGACTCGATACGACTCAGTCAGTATCAGTATCGTGTGCCGCGACGCGTTTTTCGTACACGTGATACAAGCCGCGCAAATATTTAAAAAAAAATCACGTTTTTTTTTTCATAGTCGAACGAGAGAAAGAGGAAGAGATACATAAACCTTTCTATTGTATAAATAATTCTGGACTAATTAATTGTGTCACTGACTATAAGTCGGTGACAATCATTCAGTTAAAATCAACAAACTTCGGAAATGGTGTTCTTTGAGTGTACCGAGTTTAATTAGTTAATTAAAATCTAAATGTATCAATCACTTTAATTACTTAGTGTTTTTCTCTTAAGAGAAAAAGAAAGAGAGAGAGAGAGAGAGAGCGAGACAGAGGGAGAAAGAAAAAGAAATGTTACTGACACACGCGTTTTTGTTCAATTGTTGATAAAGTAAAGAAGAAAAGTCGTCGAAAAGAATTCTTATTAGACTCTGATTTCTTTTTGGTATTTTCCATATAAATTCGCAATACATAATTTTACTTTATATGTGTGTTTTGTTTTACAATTTTGTCTTTAATCTTCACACAGATCAGCGAATCGAGAATCTTTGCGAGATCATATCGACAAAAAATAAAATTCTCTGATGATAATTATCGAAGTTCGACAAGAATGGTCTTTCGTTGTCGTTATGAGCAAAATTAACGATCTAAATTAAGATGAATTGCTCCATATTTTTGTATTAACTTCCTCTTTTTAAAGCAATCATACTCATTTGAACAGACTCACGCCTTTTTTTTTTTTTTGCGCAAACGACGTCTTGCATACTGCAACAAGATTGATATTTCCCATCGTAGCAGTGCTTCCTGTGTTCTGCTGTTTGAGCAATCAGTCGGGCATACTCAAAAGCAAATCTGGAATAATATCGCATGACTTTTTCACGGGTGATTAAATCTGTATTTACCTATAGCCAATAGCTGAAAGTCGATCGACGCATTTGATTCGAGCTGTGTCTGCTGTATCACAAAAAACTTCATGGTTCGGTAATATCACACATCATACATTAACACACGTGCTAACAATGGCAATTGTTATAAATATTGTTTCAATTCTTACTATTTTTTCTCAAATTTAACGGCTTAGTGTTATACAAAATTATAGCAATAATTACAAAGTATAATAAAAAACTTACAATATTATGTGTATAAATTGCTCTTTAATAATATTATATCACAGTTATGTGTACATACGCATACGTGCTTCAAGAACAGAATGTAGATGCAAATATATAAGAGCTCTATTTTAATTTATATTTCTTATTTTTTGATATTATTAAAGAATTATGTTTTTTGTATAAAATTCTTTTCTGATTAGAGTAAAACAGATATAAAATCATCTAACAACGTCGCGTACAGGATGTTGCGATGGAACAAAGATTCATTTCGTTTTATTGCTGATGAGAAAGAACATAGAAAAAAATGTATGTTTTTTCACAAGCGTAATACAATATCTTGATTAACTTTCTCACGTTACTGTTGCGTGCTTCCACTTGATTTTGTATTCTTTTGATCTTTTCTTACGAACGTAGTTCGTAGCCAATAATGAAAAAGTATTGGAAAGCTGAATCACACTTACTTTTCACGTTTTTTTTTTTACCACAATAATAATTATCGTCGAGAAACAAACGATTAATCTTTTCTTTTCTTTTTGTTGCCATTATTTTGATTCTATGTTAAGCGGCAAACAAATTCGTAGCAAAAAGAAACAGGAAGATTTTCGAGAAGTGAAAAAAAATCAATCAATTCCGCAGTGTTTTTTACATTGTTATTACGACCGCGCGTTCTAGTCAGTCACTTTCTTCCTTCGGATACGTTTCGCGTGAAATGGTTCATTGCTCGTGCGCCAGAAAGGCATAGCAACAAATCGATTGTACCGCGTGTGAATTGCAACCACTGTTAGCCAATTATATGTTAAACGGTTCTTTAAAGTCGAGATTATCTATAATATTATACTTGCTTATAATGTTGTTCATTCTCCGATTTACAAGAAACTTAATTCTTATATAACTATGAGTGTTTTACATCAAATCTAAAACTTGCAAGAAAGAGAGAGTGCGTGTGTGTGTGTGTGTGTGTGTATTAAGAAACACACTTCGCGCCTCTTATACAAAACTGATAAAAACTGATATTTGAAAGATAAAATATTCGTATTTCAGTAATGACTGTATCGATCGACTTTTTAGTCTCAATCAATTTGACTTGAAGAAATAGAAAAAAGAGAGTTTGTGTTTTTTGTGCCTTCTGTTCGAAGATATTTGAAGATAAAGTCTAAAAAGTGTGGAAATTTACGTTGGAAGTTTTTTTGTTGGAAAATGTGTGCAATTTTATGGTTGTGATATCAGATGGCGATATATATATACGCATTGGAAAAAAGAAGAGGAAAAAAGTAATATAGTGTATGTAAGAAAGAGAGTAAGTGAGAGAAAGAAAGTGAGAGAGAGAGAGATCGAGAAAAAGAGAGAACACAAAATTTGTAACTTTTTGTGAAATTGACTGACTAAACGGAAGTCGTTTGATCAGCAAGTGAGATATGACGAATCTTAAATTTTTGAATCTGAATGAACCGTCCGACACGCGTAATGAATTTCCGGCCTAAGTAATATAATTAATATGATATTAATATGTATATATATAAAATATATACATATATAAATGTTATTAATAGAATTAGAATATATACAAACAAAAGAGTCACTCTTTTTTGTTTGTATCACACATTATTGCGATACAAACATACGTGTGGGCGAAAGAGGAGATCTCTCCCCAAAAGTATTAAAACAAGACTACTTTTTTAATGTTTTTTTTTTGTTTGTGTGGTAAGCGCGTAGGCAGAGGAGGGCTGTCCCTCTCCTCCGGATCTCGCTTTGCGTGGAAATTTACAAACTTATGTGGATTTTGTCTCAGTTTTAGCCGTCGTTGTAGCAAGATCTCTTCTGAATTTACAACTTTTCACGAGCACTAATGTTCTATGTTATATGCCTTCTACGAGATCTGTGCAATAAGGTTTCTGTGCAAACGAGATCCACACAAACGGGACCTGTGTCAACAATTGATCCGCGCAAAAAAAAAATCTTAGCAATCTTCTCAAATAATAATAAACTGCAAAAAATTATCACATATTTAGATTCTCTCAGCATTTGTATTAAAAAAATCTAGAATTCTATCTTAATCTAACAGCGTTCGTTTTACAACCTTTTGAAACAACTGATCCGCACAGCTGCATTCTCGCTTCTATTTTACTATTCCTCTCTTCTCCCACCCTGATTTCGTATCAGCTTTTACAATACCGCGGAAACGCGAACACGGTACTTTCGCGCGTAACGTGCCAGTTTTCTAACATCCTCTTCTTTGTGTGACTCAAAATTGTGTGCGCACACAGTTTGATAAATGCGTTACTTTAGAACCACCGCGCGCTATTGTAAAGAGTCAAACATCAACAAAATAAAAAAATAATCTCACGCCGAAGAAATCACCCGATTTATCTTCGTACGAAATAAATTACGATTTATTTAACAGTCGGTGCTTTACACCGACTATTTTGCACAGAGAAGTTTGAACATAAATAATAAAAACTTGCAATTGGTTGCAACGTCCTGGTTTTCCCTCAATGTTGTACCGCTCTTTAGTTTCAAATAAATTAATATCTGAATAATTTTTATCGTTTGCACAAGACTTTCTCGCACAGATTTCTTGTTAAAAAAACTTAAGATCGTGACAATCGCAATCATGCGATTGTAATATCTTTGCAATTAATTCTAATAATGTGCCTGACAGACACGGCGAGAAAATATCTAATAATATCTTTCCGGACATTTAATATTACCGCGCAAATGTTCTGCAAATGCTACATTTTTGCAGAACGGTTAATATTACATTTTGTTTGAGACACAACTCGTATTTTTTATCAAGAGCGGACAAAATGCTACGAAAGCGGTGCTTGCAATCTGCAATTGCTCAGAGAAATCGATATGGAAACAGAAGTCTTGATCAAAACGGGAAACGCGAGGAACAAAGTGTATTTTAAAAAAGTGTATTTATTATAAATCCGTGAGAAAATATTATGTTGAAGCGTCTTATTGATGCTTATTAATAGATAAAACCAGGTTTTATTTTTATTAGAGTATAAGGTTTTATACTTTAATAAAATAAAAAGTTCGTCACATAATTTATAGACTGGTTTCAAAAACTAGTTTTTGACATTTCCTTTGAGTCTGCAAAAAATTCGAGCACTGCTCTGTTAGAAAATTAATCAATCGATATATTTGAACAATATATTTGGATTAAGAAAAATTGCAAAATTTGTGGATTTGGGAATTGGAATAACTTTGTGACCTGTTGTATATTTTAATGACGGATCCGAGTATATCTATATTTCCAGCTGGAAATTTTGTAAAAACTTGCAAAAAAAAAAAAAACAATCTACATGCAACTGCGTGAAAAACATCGTGATTTGATTAGGACGCTTTGTTTTGCTACTTCTGTCATCATGGTGGTGTCACATCGCGAGCCTAGCATATCGACGAACATACGAGCAATAATCGAGCAGCTGAATTTGAGTCCGGTTAAGAGGCGACAATTAATTGACAAGAAGAACAGAAAGGATAACGCGCGATGCAAGAGTTTTCCAGACGGTATAATGGATTCGCAGACGAAAATCAGTATAGGCATTTACGGTTGCAAGGAGCGGAACGGCGAGTTCGAAATATCGAAACCGATTTGTAAGTCTACAATGCGCAAGATTGAGCGCGCGCGACCAGAGACGGAAGCGCGTCGGAAATTTTCTACGGAAAATAAAAAAGTGACTTTTCTACCGAAAAAAGAAGCGATTCGCACGGATCAGATAAAGAAAGAGGCGTCTTTCGTACAAACGAAGAAAGAAACACAAACGGAATATGCAAGCAAGGTAAATCGATAACAAGTCGCGATAGAGACCGCGTCTCTTATAGTAAAGGACATTGTAGCAAAGGACCGCAGAATCATCGTGGAAAATGGTTTTTGTGCGGCGAATTTTTCTGAAACTTTGCTACGTGACAGTTCTCACGTAAACAAATGTGTCAACAGGCACGAAGTTCGATGAATAATAGCTTTCAGAGATATATGGAACTTCAAAGTTGGGATTTTCGTACTGTATACAGTACGCTTCAGATGCGGTATTATCGACTTGCGATGCTACTTGTGAAATAAGCTACGACATTCTTTTACATCAGTGTGTGCATGTATATGTGTGTGCGTATGGCACGCGCGCATTTACATACGCGTGTCCGCGTATGTGGGTACAAGACAATGTAGTGTCGTTCCTCGTTCTTGGCGTTAAACGAGAATTAACGACAAGGAAACGTGGCGAGCATATGATTTCGTTCGTGTGTGAGTGTGTACGCGCGCGTGCATGTTACGCAAATAAACCAAGTTCAAAAATGCGATAAAGAAAATGAAAAAAATCTCAGGAATAAGCGATTATGATAGTACAACACTGTACCCACATAAGTACCCATATAAAAAATTACGGGACATTAGCTCGCAAGTATGTTTTCTTAAAAACTGATCTATATTTTTCAAATAAACTGTGAGATCACACTCTTAATCACACATACGCACACATGGGATCATGTACTCGCCACGTCCCTGTCATTGATCCTGAGGAACGGCATTACGTTGTCTTACACACACACACATGAACATGCACACACTGCATATCTTATCTCATCTCAAGTGTAAACATCGTACATTAGTATCACTATGCACCTGTATGCTGCATAAGGTGTAGAAGTCCTACCTTTAAGGTTCTATATCTCAAAAACTATTGTTCACCGGACTTTTGTGCCCATTGACACTTTTGCTCTACGGGCTGAAAACTATCATGTACCAAAAAGTTTTAGAAAATTTAGCCGAAAGCCATTATACTCACAAGAATTCTGCGGGGTCCTTAGTTTTGTTTGCTCAGAGATAATTGTAATTTATCACAAATTGTAAATTTATTAATTGCAATTTAGTGTCCAATAGTGTCGATTGGATTCTTTAATAAGGATAAGAGCGGCCGAATAAGATCAACGATGACGGCGACATCAACAACGATGTCATTATCGACGAAGATTCTTCCTAAAGGTCAGAAGATGATCGAGAGAGAGCACATCACTCGAATATGCGACTATAGCACGATCGAGGTAATCGATCGACTCGATATAAGTAGCAAAATCTCTGCCGCGAGCGATAAGCATGCATTTTTAATGTGATATAAAGAGTATAAATGAGACTAAAATAACATGATTAATAATTTATGTATACGTGATGCAAAGTAGCATCCTGTATGAATTTTATAATTGCTAGAATTTATTTAGAATTTTGTTCAATAATGAATTTTTTATGTGTATTAATTTACATGTTAAAAATATATAATTTTGCACATATGTCCAGCGTATGACTATAAAGTCCTATTTCTTGATTTAAGTTTATACTTATCGAAGCCATATGTTATACTTGTTTTAATAACCGATAATTTATATAATCAATCTGTCTACAATTTTGCAAAAAAACACGGTCGCAGATGCTTAAACAGTATCGATCAGACCTTTGTTATAAAATCGAGGGCTGCTTTGGTATAAAGCAGCCCCGGATATGACCGTTAGGATCTCCGTCAAAATTTTGCAATTACAATTATACCTTGATTAAAGTAAAAGTAAAGGAAAAACTCATTCAAATCAGCTGTGCATGGCTGTTCGCAAAATTAGCTAAATTCGATGTCAAAGATTACGCAGACATCATCACTCCGCCCGCGACAACTGATAGACTTAGCCGCAAACTTTACACTTGTCGTACATGTAGCGGTCTTCCCGCCACACACTCACAAACAAACAACAATGATTATGTCGTTTTATACAATTCCAAAAATGTGGAAATAAGATTTCAGCTTATCTGTGTCCGACATGACGTTGACTGAATTGTCTTGTAACTTTATATGGATCATTTCAGAGACGAATTATTTTAATTATAAGATCCGATTATATAAATACCTAAGCCTAAGAATTAAATGAAATGAGAGGTTCTCCAAAAAGCAGTTTCACACAGCTCTCCTATATTGGATAACGTGTCTAATATTTCTATCTCTTTGCTGGAGAAAGCAACCATATTACAAAACCAAAACTCTGATTCAATATAATAAATATATTAAATATATTTAGATTTGTAAATATAAAATTTAGGCTTTTTTATTCTGATTATTATTTTATTATTGCACGTAATTTTTTGGTTGCTTCCTGTTATAGAAATTTTTTTACATCGCACATAATTTTTATTTTTTAAATAATAATATTTGAAACTTCATTTTTTTATTTATCTGCATAAAGATGATTTTAACAGATCAAAAGTTTGGTATCTAGCTATATATTGATATTATTTATACTCGTGTCTCTCATTACGTGCCGCGTTTGCGTGACAATCGAAACGCGCGATAAATAATCCGCGAAGAAAACGCACGCGCGTGAATAACGCAAGCTTTTATCTATCTTTCCGTTTTCTTTTTTTTCTCGATATCTTAATTGTTTTTCTTCTAATAAAATTTTTTTTCCCTAATAAGTTTCTTGCGAAATAAGTCTTGGCATCTCGAAGCGAGCAAGCGACGCATCTGCAACCGGTTTACAAAACCGATCGCGGTTAAGTGGCCGCGCAATAGTTTATACCGTTAGAGACTGATCAGACGACATGCTCATGTTGATGCGACAAAGAATATAACGCTGTCTCTCTGGTAACGGCGTCGAGAATTACGTTACTTCGCTGGCAAAAGTCAATCTGCGTTTGCATGCGCCGCAAATGTCTGGCCGTGCATAACGCGATTGTGTCAAAAAAGGTGGATAGCTTCTCAGAATCTCTTTGAATTGTTTATGTGTCATAAACAATTATTTTACTTAATGTGTTAAATTTTTTCTTTTTGAAATAATATCAATTATTTTAGTAAATATATAATTAGAAACGCGAAAACAATATTAATTATTTTAAATCAGTATCAAGTTTTATATATATATGTTGCGTGTGTTTGTATATATAAAGTAGATATGTACATATATGTATATATATATATGTATATATATGTATAGACTGAAACCTCGTTTATCTCCGATCGGGAGATCGACAAGACAGGTAGGATAACCGAGGCTCAACCTTTGTTATACGGACTATTGGTTCCTATAGTACGAACTATCGGTTCGTACAATAAAGGTTGGGCCTCAAGTTATTTCAGATAAAAGAGGTTCGGATAAACAAGGTTCCAAAAAAAAAAAATTAGAAATTAAATCGCAAAATTTGTTGGCATTGCATGATACATATAAAAATAATTACAAATTGATTGGATAACTATAATTTGTATGATTTCTAATACAGATTGTACGATCAACGAAAGATGTGAATGATCGGACCAATCCGGTGGCCAAAGATTTACGTAAGTCCTACAGATTATTACCACTAATCGTATTTTACATTTTTTTTTTTAATAATTATCTCTATCTATTTAATTTAAGCTTATAAACAAATAATAGTTACAGAAAACACGTTAAAATAAGTAAAACATTGTATAAAAAAAAGAGAAAACGCAAATAAAATACAGAGTATGTTTTTTTTTTCTTTTGTAAGTTTTGTACAACTTTTCAAAATATTTGACCGCATTTATTATCTTTATATCGCGTGCAATACGGTACTACAGCTTTGTAACGTAATTTCCCTTCTAATTAACAGCGCAGTTAGAAAGCGCGAGTCTGAGTCACACGGCGGCGCATCACCGGATCTCTGTGCGACCGAAGAACCGGCGTCCACCACGTCGCGTGACATCGACGATATCCAACGTCACCGTACCTAGCTCATCATCAATTCCACTGACTGTTGCGGAAAACACGTTGGATAATTTGGAGCAAAAAGTATTGTCGCAACAACAATCTACAAGTAACGCGTCATCGACGGAAGCGCTCAGAACTATTGGAGTTACAAGAAAATTATCGAGCCGATTGTCGCGCAACTCCGACATCTTTGAAGAGTTAGAGACGAGATTGCCGAGAAAGTCAAGCGCGACTTCGCTGTCGCCGGATAGTCTAGATGTCACAACGACGTCACGGAGTAGCACGGAAATGACGGCAACCGCCGCGGAAGAACATCAGCAATCCGAAGTAAGATGGGTATCGATCACTAGAAGACCATCGACTCAGATATCCAAGAGTTCAGATGTGTTTGAAGAGCTGGAAGCAAAGTTGCCGCGCAGAAGATCATCGTCAAATCGCCTTTCCAAATCACCGGACAGTCTGGATTTATCGCCCAACTGTTGGTACTCTAAATCTACAGAAGAGGACTTTGACAAGCTAGTGGAGTATGAGGAAATCACAAAACCGATTAGTTCTGTCAGACAACCACCGTTCTTGAATCAAATCTCCAAATCCAGTGATCGCGTGTTCAAATCGTCGGATAGTATAGAAACGATCGAACCTCTAGTTAGTGACGACTCGATCGAGCGACGGCAAAGCGGTTTTGATTTTCGAACGTGCAAACGCTCGAGGCCCATGTCCAAGTCATCGGAAAGTTTTGACGTGTTTAAACAGAGAGATTGCATTGACGAGGAGATAAGTCAAGAGTTGCAAAAAAGAAGCAGCGTGTCCGACATTAATCTAGCACGCGATAGAAAACTGTCGAAAAACATTTCCAAGTCTTTCGATAACTTCGACAAAATTGATATGTGCGAGGCAAAAGATGACGTCGAAATAGAAGTGATAGATTATGATGTTTCAAAAGACGATAAGCAGTCAATGAAGAGGATATCTTCCGAAAGTTCGGATAATCAAGACGTAGAAAACAGAATTGAAAATAGAAGAATTAGAAGAATACCGAAAAGAATACCAAGTGCTCACGTAGCGGATGCGATTGTTTCCGGAGACGAGGGAGAGAAACGACCAACACTTACCAAAAAACCGCCAAGACTGCAGAAATCTTCCGAGAGTTCGGAATTAGGTAGCACGGACACGTTAGATTCGGAGCGGAGAAACAAGTCGTCGGAGAGCACCGAGACGCTCGACAGTTTGGAGAAAGATCTGGAGCAGGACAGAAAGGACAGCGAAGTTACGGACAGCGTTTTAGACAAGCACGAGAAGAATGTAAAGCATATTAAGGTACAAAAAATAAAATATATAGATAATTCATAACGAGTAATTTTTTACTATGGAGTAAAAATATTCTTACTCGCCACATGGTTTTAAAACTTCCGTCACTACGTAAAAATATTGTGAGAATATAAGATCTTTGTATTATGTTGTTTTTATATTGATAATGTAATTCGAGGAAAAGCTTCGGTTCGGTTTTGAAAAATCTTGATCCGTGGGGCAATACCGAACAGGTTGCAAGATATTTTGCAGCGGGTTAATGAATAAAATAACTAATTCCCAAACGTTTTGAACTTTATTTCCAAGTCTTCTTCATTAGGATTTTTAATATGACTTTCAAACACAACCATAACTTTGCTGCAAAACATCCTGCAATCTAACAAAGCGAAATTTAAACGGTCATGAGTGGTCGTCATCATCGCGTTGTTAGTTTGAAACTTACGAGCCTAACATTTTTTATTAATCTTGCAACCTGTTCGGTGGCGCCTCACAATCAAACGGATCAATATATTTTTTTGCTCAGAAAATCATTTGCCTTGTCTCAATTATCAGTTTTTTTTTTTTATACACGTTCTAAATCACTATATATTTTATTAAAATATTTTTAAACGACTTCTCTAGCTTCTTCTAATCATCTTCTTAACAATTGATTGTCAAAAAAGAGATAGAAAAAAAAATTTGTAATTTTTTCAGGATTTTTGGTCTAGTAGAAACATAGCAGTTACCGATTCCGAAGCGTCAATGAGAGATGATACCGAGAAGTCGTTTATTCCCGCCGACAACAAGTACTATTGGCGACAATCTTCCGAACCGGTGTCTAAAGAAAATTTGGGTATTCAACAGTTGTTGGCCATCACGATAATGACCACGAGGATAACTGACAACGATAACAATCAACGCAGTACCGTCATTTATCCAAAGAAGAAACAACAAAGCACGTCGCAGCCAACGTCACCGGTAACTAAGCAAGAGGATACAAAGATGTTGTTTGACAATTTGCTTGTTAGCAGCAGGAACGATGAGGACCTGCAGAACATGCTGAACGGAAACATATCAGAGGTGTCTACTGATACCAAAAGCTTTAAGGAGAAGCTAATCATGTTTGAAAAACTTGGTAAATAAAACGCGACATTAAAACAATGTTGTGAAATTGTCTCCATAATTCCTTCAATTAATAAAATGCTTTGAATCAGTGGTCGCAGAATAAAAGAAGACAGGAAAAGTAAGAAGAAAAAATTAACGATCTCGTTTAGTGCTTGATAAATATACTTGCTGTTAGATAGAGTACACATCTTAATATTTTCGAAGTTGCTTTGATTACGAATAGTGTAAAAACCAAAAGAAAAATCAAAGATTAAATTGAAAATCATGGAAAATCTTATTATAAAAAAATGCAAAACGATTTAAAAATTATGATAACTAATAATATAAACTGTTATTTAAAAAAATTAAAAAAAAAACTAAATTGTACCAATATATAGTATATATATTTTATACGCTTGGTATATTTTTAGATTATTTTTGAATAAGCATGCAAATATGTTAATCAATGTAATCAGCAAACATATCGGCAACACATTGTTGTCTTTTTTGACGGCAATTATTTGCTTTTGACAGATTTTGTTAGTAGGAAATATATAATGTCATCTTTTTTTCTTTAAGTTTAATCAAAAATAACGTTTAGTTTATGATGTATCCTGTTTCTGCTTCAATGCAATTTGTTAGAAAAATAAGGCCTTCAAATGTTGCCAGAAAAATAAAAGTAATTACATATGATATTTTTCAACTTTCACGTTCTCGTATAATTTTTCTACACGAGTAATAAATCACACTTTGTTGAGATTATGTCTGATTGCGCGTGATGCGAATCACGATAGACGCAAATGCGCGGTACACTGCGATGTCTCTCAAAGACAAGCTTTCTATTTTTCCTTTAAAAAAAATAGTATATATAATGCATCATACACACACTTTCTTAGAGAAGTTTTTAATATTTACTCGCAGAATATAGCAGTGCCTTTACTAATGTGCCGAATTTTTTCCTCGGTATTGTGCCGCGGAAATTTATTCTCATCAATTCTTATATAGTGCTTCACGCGAGGCTTTGCGCGAATTGGCGAGTGAACCAATAGGTGGGTGAACAATGACTTTGCGGCGGTCGAGCCAATCAGAGATAACACAGCCGGATATTCTCGGAACAATACCTCCCTCTTTTTTTCCGCTAGCGGAACCGAGGACCGGAAAGTTAGCGAGGCACTACTATACTTGTATAATAATACAAACTACTTGTATAATAATTTAGCGGAAATGTGATCCTCGTGATGCGATACATTTATAATTATGTTCTTCATATTGTGTAAATAGAAAAAGAATATCTGTATGTTATCACTTTATTTTTATATATGTATATTACACACACACACATGTATATATATATCTATATCTATATCTATATATATATATATGTATGTACATATACAGGGTGTATAAAAGTACCGCGAAAAATTTCAAAAATTAAACATTTTACGAAAAAGTATTTCAAAATAAAAGTTGTAGGGTTTTGAAAAGACCTATTTACTGATTGTATCAGTGTGACCGGAGGTCGCCGGCGCCACACTTTTCGAACATCGTATACATATGTACAATAGAATAGACATAAATATAAGCTATAATAGTCTCTTTCTAAGAAATGTTACGCAAGTGATTATGGTTTTAATGTTCGAAAAAAATTTGTTTATTCTAAAACTGTATATTTATTCCTTTAAGAAAAATGGCACAATTATGTGTGAAATGTGTTATTCAGATGTGCTAATAGACCTATAATATTTCAACGACAAAAAACTTAACGATAAGTGATATTAGTATAATTTGGTCTTATTTTTTACTTAAAAATATTTATAAAAGATTGTTGAAAGAAGATAAAATTTATATATAGAGAAAATTGTGAAATTCTTGAGCTTTACATACAACATGTAATTATTATCAATCAGATGTTTTTTCTTGATAAAGTAAAAAAAAAAAAAAAACAGAAAACATAGAGTGTAGAACACATTGTTACATTTCACATAGGAAGAAAGAGTTGTGTAGCCTTTCAAGTGCCTTACTGAACCAATTGAGAAACTAAATCCAAGTATATTGACTGTGTGGTAAACAAAAAAAAACGTTAAATTCAATGTCTCCTTTTTTTTCTATATAAATGACAAAAATATACGTTCGGAGATTTCAAAAGATTGCAAAGATTGTCTCTTAGAATAAAAATACAAAACTGAATTTAAGTATCATTTTACTGTAATATTATATGATACAAATAATAAAAGAAATTTTGGTAAATATTCACATAAGATCCAATCTCTTTCAAATGTCACTGATCTTACCGTATATATATTTACTTCCAAAAAAAAAACAGTACTCTAAAAATTTGGAAAAAAATAAGTGACGAATAAAATAAGTGATAATTCGTTTTTGTTTAGTTCGGAAAGAACTAAACAGAAAAAAAGACCGGCTATAATTAAGCCACAGTTAATGGTACTAACAGTTATTAGGTCGTATTAGTGGCAGTTACTTAAGAGGACAGTGAACGACAAAGAAAGTCCGTCACAAATGCCACTTAGCTACGCTGTCGGGTAGCTGGCCTCTATTTCTCGGGACCGAGTCAAACAAAAACAAGGATAGACATATGCGTCTCTCCGGCGCTTCTTTAAAATTGTACTAATCTTACTTAGTTCCAAGTTTTCTCTTCTCACAAAGGTTTCAAAATCCTTTTTCAAGCACTCAAAATATTTGCCTGTTTCTAGTTTCGGATAAAGATATTTTTGTTTGGATTTATACGCCAATTTTTTGCGCATAAAGCAAAAATGTAGTCTATGTAATAACAGTCTATAAAAATTTTTTTCGTTTTTCTTGAATTCTCATGCTTCATCCCCAATTCTTTACTATGTTCTCTTTTTTTCTGGAGAAGCGTTTTTTATTTCGATTGATTGAGTTTTTACAAAAATTTGGAAATACAAAATGGTGGTACAAAACAGGTTTGACTTTTTTTAAAAAAGTTGACTTTGCGAATATTTATCCAAATTATTTACATACGGTCACACATAAAAACATACATAATATATTTACAGAAAGAGGACAAAGTTCTTTTTTACTGATAAATAAAACTGCCGTTTCAAATTACAACAGATTCTTCTCTCTTTATTCTTATGTTCATGCACAATATCACGCCAATTACTGACGTACATACTCTTAAAAAATTGTAAAACATTAGGCTTAAAATGTATAGTGCAGAACAATTAAGATTCGGCTCTCTTCTCGCCGCTGTCCTTAATGACAGTTAGAGAGATGAGTAATATGTTAGAAAATTTTTGTTGCAACTTATATAAATTTTTAATATTTTCATAAAAAGTTAATAATTATTTTATATCCTTCGAAAAATGCAAAATATGCGGAAAATTCAGTTATAGCGAAAATACAGTTTAGAAATCGAAAAATTAAACGTAAGAGCTCAGCTATTTTCTAATCTCTAATGATAAATAAAGGCCATCACATATAAAATCACGTAAGAATGTAAGACGTGCACACAGGCGACACTGTGTAACACACAATTATCAGTGTGTCTCGCTCACACTAGTGGACACTAGTGTCGCCTGTGTGTACGCAGCTGAAAAGCTCCCATAATATAGTATGAAAATGTTTTTTTTTGTATATTTTACAAGTTTAATAATTACAAAAATATAATGTTGAAGAAAAATCTAAAAATGAAAAATTAAATTTGAATGAAATTTTCTTCTGACATTATTAAACGAGAACAGCGACAAGGAAAGATGAGAGCCTTAAGAAATAGCTACGTATGTATAAATTCAAAAATTCCGACACAACACGATCTAACTTATTACTTTTACTTTACTTTCAAGATACATTAAACTGAGATATGAAGTATATGTTTCATCAAACTTGATATTAGTAGTAATATATTACATCTGAAGTTTATATTATTAAATATAGAAGAGTGTGCGTTTGCTTTAGACGCTTATGCGCTTTAATCATCGGTCTGTCTTTACTGTTCATTCGGTTAATAATTAACAGATGGATAAATGAAAAAAAAAAAAAACTTAATACAGGCTAATATATGTATAAGAATATACCTCGCAAACTTTTGAATCCTTTGAATACCTCAGTTGATGATAACAAAAATATTTTGTGCAATTTTACACGGTGTCTTATGAAGAATAGCATTTTTCGGGTCTTCTTCCGCGAAATTCGTAAAGAATTAACAGACAGATTTTGTAAAAATTACTGATAGTAATAAAAAAAATATGAAAGTTTGCGTGAAGAGTGTAGATCGATTAGATACTTGAGAAATGAGAAAAGAGTAAATATTTCTTGTAACAATCGCGTATAGATTATCGTCCATTACTCGACGAACGTCAAAACTTCTCATCAGAGCTCGCGCTATTTGAAAACTTAAGATAAGAAAAAATATTTAAAGCAAAACATATGTGCGCGCGTGTGAGTGTTCTCACATTTATGTAACTATGTCAAATCTAGCGCACTGCGCTAGTCTAAAGTCAAGAGAGAGTTTGACGTACTACGTACCAGAACACAAAGACCGACGCTTACAGCGCATAAACGCCTAAAACGAACGCACTTGTAACATTGTAGAAACGCTTCTTTGTGTACAAAAAGAGGAATGTAACAACGCATTTTTTTTTTTTTTTTAACGTGTTAGCAATGATTGACGATATTACATTGCAATGTAATAAATTTCTTATCTGCCAATTTTATGGAACAAGAAGACAAGCATTGAAAAAGTATTCTTCAGTTATTATTACGAGCTATTTCAATACTAAATCAAAGAAGTCTTTAAATGCCGAGCAAGGATCGAACAATCAAGATCGTAACTATTGCGGTTAATGTGCATGTTTGCACAGCGGTTTGTTTAAACAGTGACATTTTTTAAAAAAATTATTTAGATGTCACCGTTCAAACAGTCCAATATTATTACAGAGTGATTAAAAAACTTTTTCTAAGTGTGTTTTTAAACATATCAAATCGTATGCAGTATACAGTACGGCGAAATGTAAAAAATAAATTAGATCTCGTGTAACTAGGTCTATTCAGTTGTGGTAATCAACTCTTGTTAAAGATTCAAATTAATGAAAACATTTTTAAATTTTCAATCAATCAAATACGTAACTAGACCGAGAATATATCTATCTAAGTAATATTCTTATTTTATTTTTGAGATATAAAGTATTGATATGACGAAGAAAAGCTATAAGATAATAGTAAAACTCTGATATTTCATCACGTAATATTTACAATACGTTTTCGATAACGACATACATTAAAATAAAAAATAAAAAAAAATTCCTTTCTCTAGTTACGTACGCATGTTATTATCCATGTCGTTGTAACTATTTCTAAACAATAGATCCGATGTTGTCGATCCTTGCAGCTTGATTCTTATCTTGTAGTTAACAAAAGAACCTTGATATTTACATTTATTACGTGCGACTGATTAGGCGCGCGCGCGATTTTATTTCACTAAAAAAAACAATGAAATATTTTTTTCTTTTTTTTTTTTTTTTTTTTTTTTTTTTTCTTCTCTCTCTCTCTCTCTCTCTCTCTCTGTTTGATTGAAGTTACAGATTGCGGGCGTAGATAACTCCATAGCGTATTCGCAACGACTAGGTTCCGTTACCGACATAAGCTTGTTTTCGATNTTATTACGTGCGACTGATTAGGCGCGCGCGCGATTTTATTTCACTAAAAAAAACAATGAAATATTTTTTTCTTTTTTTTTTTTTTTTTTTTTTTTTCTTATAGTTCGTCGTGTATATCAGTTTCTGTTTGATTGAAGTTACAGATTGCGGGCGTAGATAACTCCATAGCGTATTCGCAACGACTAGGTTCCGTTACCGACATAAGCTTGTTTTCGATTCCGCACGTTAGAGTAACTATTGTTGAACGCGCAGGACCATTCCAACATGTGACACCACGATCGTACTTCATTTTGGTATATTTGGCACCAGGTGGTCCCACCCAAGTGTTCCAGTGACCTAGATGGACGTCGCTACCACCAGATCTAGATTTCTGAGTTGCCTTGTTGTATAAACATAAATTGTAAACGTATTCTAAATCAGTGTATTCGAAACATTCGCCATCAAGTGGCGCAAACTCCTCATTCTGTCCGTAATCGCGTTGCAACTTGTCTTCCAGTTGTTTGATTTCTGACTGCAAATCATTAACGGCTTTTTCCGCCTCCTGAAAACGCTCGCGAGCGATATTAGCTTCGTCAATAAGCGCTAACGTTTCTTCATCGTATGAAACTTCCGCCTCCTTCTCGTGTTCCTTCTTATGATCTTCTTCATATTCTTCCTCGTGTTCTTCTTCATATTTCTCTTCGTGTTCTTCTTCAGGAACACCATTCTCTTCAATCATTTCTCTTTCATCTTCTTTCTCGTGATTTGCATCGTCCAAAGATAATTGCTCTTCAACTTTGTCACTTATAGTTGGTTTGAACATACCTAAAAACAATTACACAAATTATACAAGAATTGTACATAGTTGTTAGAATTTCAAAAAACAAGAAAATTGCAACTTTTTACCTTTGTCTAGCATTAAAAATGGTTTTATATTCATCCATGCTAAATCCATAAACTCTTGCAAGTCAACTTCCTTTTTCTCACTGAGAAAATACAACGCTTCTTCTTCTGACACAGCGCTATCTTTGTTTTTATCAAATGTACTCCTGGTTTGCAACTCCTCTATTGTTACCTTACCGTCGGAATTCGAATCTAACATCTTAAAGTAATTCTCGGCCTCTGTCAAATCTTCCTCGCCATCAGCCGTATCCTCCGTAGCTGGTTCCTCCAACTCGGAGGGTTTGTACTTTTCCAAAGCAACACTTTCTCGTTCCTCCGCTTGTATCTTCACTATCTCTTTTTCTTTCTTTGTCAATTGCGCCTCTTCGTAATCCGTTCTCAATTTTGCCAAACGAGATGCGTACTCCGCTTTGACAATTTTACCTTTTGTGACCAGCTCTAGACGCAGTTTGTTCCCTTCGCGCGCCAACTGTTCCGCCTTCTTCTGTTCCAGCCGGGCCTCTGTGCCCAGCTCGTTGCAATTGTTAACGCAATTTTTTCCGGATTCATATTCGTCACTCGTGTCACAACAGTCGCACACGCCATCGTTTACCCACGATGACGGTATGTACGCCGGTTTGTGATTAATATTTTCGCAATAAAACACACCGTTGACACACGCTGACGTTCCGGGTTCGTCGCTCCCGTCTCCGCAGTCGCAATAATCATCGTTTATCCATGTGAACGGTATAATCCGGCTACCGTCCAAACACTCGAAATCGCGATCCGGTCTGTATAATGGATTTTTCATCACAGGTATGCCGCGAATTTGTAACACACCGGAGTCGAGAGCCTGGCTGGATGCGTACGTGGCTAAGATAAGGATCACCGTTATCGCAAGCATCACAAATTGTGATGCGTGAGATCTATCCATTTTTTTTTTTTTTTAATCCGCTACACTGATGTTACACGTCACTTAAATTTGATTTTCAAGAAGAAGGTGATGAGAGGAAGAGAACTTGTGATATAATTTTATCGATTTGACTTTTTAAGCGGCTATTGGATTCTAATAATCCTCCCATATGCTATTCTATCATGTTATTTTATCGTATCTTTAGTCCTAACCTAGCTTTTTGGTGACAGGTGTGCAGACACTGAAGTTCTAGCGTGATATAAAGTCTATTCTACATCGGACGCAAGACGCAAACGCACGTCGCGGGATCTCGCGGAATTGACCAATCACGTTGGCCGATTACCTGATTTGATCGATGTGATTGGTCAATTTCACCCGACTTGCAACTTGCGTTCGCATCGTGCGCTTAATGTAGGTCTGTTCTACAATACAGTAAGTCGTAAGAAATTGACCAATCACAGACAAATCACAGAAGAATAATCGATTGTGATTGGTCAATTTCTTACGCGACTTCAGGCTTAAGGCCGTTACACATAAAATTACTTAAGGCCGTCGCACATGAATCTTCGTAACAGTAAATCATACGACGTAAGAATTAGCCAATGAATGAGCGTATAGAATAATTCAACCAATCATTGAATAACCTCTGTACTTAACAATAAACATAAGATATAATTTGGCCAATCAAAACAGATTTTTAGAAGAAAATAGAAAGAGAGAAATTTCAGGTTAGTCAAGATAATTTTATTTAATTTTTGGTTTACTTTAAATATAAGAAATTGTTATAAAAACATTTTATAATATGTAAAACTTATGTAAGAAAAGTTATATAGAAATAATAATGTAATAATATAAACAATAAAGAAAAAATCACTAACTAAAAAGAAAAGTTATATAGAAATAATAATATAATAATATAAACAATAAAGAAAAAATCAACTAACCTATACTTAGAATAAAATCATTAAACAAATAAATATTATTTATGAAAATAAGCAATATTTGGAAAAATAATACTTTTCTATGTTCAATCACGCAATGACGTGGACTAGTTATTGTATGGAAATTGTAATGAGATATGTATAAATTATTATATTAATTTTGCACTGACCATAGAATCAAGTAGAATTGAGATGTCACAACTTTTCGTAGCAACTACTCGTATATGCGCAGATTTTTCCGCACGACAAAATTTCAACCGGCTGAAATTTATCTTACGTTTAAGTTTATATAACTATTTCTACAGTTACCGCAGTATTCTGACCTAAAGCTACTTCTTGATTGGTTTTCGAGCTTGTGGTTACGGAGATTCATGTGCGACGGCCTTTAAGGGGGGCGTTCCATTCAGCGGAAATCTATAACGAAACAAAACGCGCGGAATCAGCGCGACCAATCACAGCCACGGAAAAAGCGATAGAAAGAAAACGGAAAATGGCTATGATTGGTCGCGCCGATTCCTTGCATTCCGTTCCGCTATTGGATTTCCGTTCAACGGGACGCCGCTCTAAGGGTCATTCTACTAATGAGTTGAAAATGTTCCGTTGTCAGTTGCGAAAATTAGCAATTACGAAAAGAAAATGATTATTTCTGGTTGCGCTTTGTCGTTGCGGTTGCCAAAAGAGAGTTGGTCAACTTTTGACATTTGTCAACAGCAACTGGCAACCGCAGCGCGTAAAAACTTTTTTCCCTAGTAGTTGCAACTGGCGACGGGACGTTTTCAACTCATTGTAGAATGGCCCTAAGAAATACCGTACCACCGTTTTTATCATTGAATTGCGAACACAAGTACGCGTATTTTTTATCTTCCAACTGATTGACAATTCAATTTCAAACGGTAGGTACGTATTTTCTATCTTCCAACTTTGACAGTAAGTAAGTCCGAGTTAGCGGTTAGAACAATTATAAACCAACCTTTAAACATCCGAGTATATCTTGCTTTGGTTGGCTAACATGTTTAACTAGGTATCAGCAAATCACGAGCACAGAATTAGATACATCATATAGCATTGCACGAAAATTATTGGCAATTCCTTCCGCGTCACAAAGCCGGTATATGAGAACACAACTGATGCTGGTTATATCTCAGGGGAAACCGGAGAACTGAGAGTTCAGAAGCATCAAGGAAGGTGATCAGCTAACAAGGCAAGTAGCACTGAGAAATAGTTGTGAAGCATACAAACCAATACAAAACCTTCGTATATAGTGATTAGAGCAAACGAACGTTTTTTGTGCCTGATTTTTGGAGCAAAAATCAGAGACAACAAACTCAAGGGCACAAGCATCTTTGAATCGGGCGTACCTTGTGCCGACATAGCGTGGTGAGACAACGCGGTAAATTCTCACGATGGCGGCAGTCACAGATTACCAGACAGAGACGGAAAAATCTGAAAACGGGACCGATCAAAGTGAAAAGAGTATGCAACAAAATGATACTCAGCAGGCTAATACAACTATCTCAAATCAAAAATCATCGCAACAGCCATCGCAACCGACTGCTGGGATTCCTGGTAAGGATGACGAACGAAAGCTGTTTATAGGCGGTTTGTCTCGTAACACTACCGACAAAGAGCTGCGTGATCATTTCGGAAAATTTGGCGAAATTGAGAGTATTTCTGTGAAAGTTGATCCCCACACTGGTATTTCACGTGGTTTTGCTTTCATGGTTTTCACCAATCCGAAGACTATTGACAAGTTACTTGCATCCGGTGAACATTATATCAACAAGCGGAAGGTATAGAAAACTTATAATAAAGTTTTACACTTAAAAAGTCATTGTTATAAAAAAAAAATCAACATTACTAAATTTGTCAACATTATTTAAATTTAAATATTCTATTTGTACAATCATATATTTTGTCTTCTACAGTTTTAAGCTTTTGTGTTATCAAGTATAGATTTTACATAGTCTTATATACTATCAAATTTATTTATATTAATAAGAATCACACAAAAGCATATTATGTCAAAAGTAAAAATTACAAAATATTATTTTCTTACAAGATTTCAATATTTATTTAATTTGATAAAGAGGTTAAGTTTCTTTCCTTAAGATAAGTCATAAGACAAACTTTTTTAATATCTTGTAATTTTAAATAATTTTTCAAACTAGCGAATATCAATTAATCAGATTACAAAATGATTTTACAATCACTATTTTATTACAGAACTTAGGATGTTTCATATACATATATATATTCATATGCATATATATATATATACATATATATTTATATATTTATTTTTTATACATATATATATATATATATTTATTATATATGTGTGTATGTGCTATGCATGTATATGAAATATACTATGTATGTGTAAGAAATATAAATTTTCAATATATTTTATATTTTATAAAATTATATCTTGAATATGTATATTTGTGTATATATAACCAGATAAATAAATAAATAAATATACATATACACATATATATATATATACATATATGTATATATATACATGTATATATGCGTGCGTGTATGCACACACACACACACACATTCTATCTTTCTCTTGTACACGTGAATATGATTGTTTATGCAAAAAATATATTTCCTAAATATTTGCAATATAATAAGAAGATAGTCTTGTACTTCCTTGACTATGACAACATACTTATATACTTTTGATTTATTATATAGGTAGACCCAAAGCGAGTTAGCAAAAAACCACAGCATGGGAAAATCTTCGTAGGTGGTCTTACACCAGAAATTACTGACGAAGATATCAAAACGTATTTTGGACAATACGGTACCATAGTCGAACTGCAAGCACCATTTGACAAAGTCAAAAATCAACGCAAAGGGTTTTGCTTTATCACCTTTGATTCAAAAGAAGTAGTATATAAATTATTGAAGACACCTAAGCAGACGATAAATGGTAAGGAAGTGGATGTGAAGAAGGTGAAAGTCAATCCAGATCCAAGGAATCAAGGTTTCTGGGCACCTGGTTATGGATATGGTTATGGCGGAGGTTACGGCTATATTCCGGATTATAATGGTTATCATGGTGGCTATGATGACATGTATGCGAACTATGATTATGCTGGTTATGATGGTTATGAAAATATGGGATATGGACCAAAACCAAGAGGAAATGGTCCAGGACCACGTCAGTTTCAGAGACATCAGCCATATTAATTATATTCATCTTTGTCACCATGATTATATGAAGGAAAAATGCAAAAAAAAAAAAAAAAAATGGTATAACATTGTAGGTAAAAATATGTTGTAACATCTGGCAAGTTGTTATATCACTCTTTCCACTTTTAAAATCGAAGCAGTATGAATGTTAAATTGAGCATTAGATGCAGTAAATGAACTGTTTTCTCAACACGAGTTATAAATTATTTTGGCTGTTTGGCAACATAACAAGAAATGCTGATATTAAAAACATTTCGTTTTTCTTGTCGAGTTTTCACAAAAACAATATTTGTGAAATTTAACAATTATCATTTTGAAGGGACATACCGATATTGAAATTCGAAATAATAAGTAATTATAAGTACTAAAAAAAGCGAAAACTAAAATCAAGTTTGTCAACTAAGTCTCGAGTTCAATTTATGAAAAATAAGAAAAGTGTACAAGGCTCGTCATAGTCATATTTGCTTTTATTATGTCAAAAGTGAGAAATGACAATATGTGATTCTTGCAACATATATTGTTTTCTCTCAACAAACACTGAAACTGACAGTTATTCCAAATTTCATGTAAAGAAATGTAAAAAAGTTTCCAAAATAACATCTCAGTTGGTATATTAGCAATCAGGTGGAACTGTATTTCAGCTGGTGTACTAACAGTTAGGAAACAGATAAGCTATCACATTTAATTTCTTGTTTTTCATTATAACTAAAGTTTTCATTATAACTAAAGTTAAACTACTGCATAGCTTACATTTGAGAAATTTCAATAATATAACCTTTTCATAGAAAAATAAAAATATATAAATTTATACGTTGCATAAAATCGTAAGTACTGTATAATTTCTTGCTTTACAAAAGTCAATATGGCTGCGAAGAGCTGACTACTAACAAAAATTTATATTCGTAATTATATATTTCTCTATAAAAATCTTGCACTTTGTTTTTAGTATAAGATAGGTTTCTTCCATACCATATTACCACAGAATATATTTTCGAGAGATAAAAACGAACAGGCACATGTATTTTTCTCCAAAGAAAATCAGAGCATGAAATATAGTGGTGTTCGCGCAATTGTTACTTAGCAGAGACCGCGATAAAAACAGCGGCTGATTTGTTTTTCGCGCAGTTTAAGACCATTGAGCTACGTAAGATATGACGAAGAGAGTGAACAAGTCATGTAATATCTTTATTATATAATATGGAATCACATTGATATAGAATCTGTACCAATAAAAATATGATAGATCACAAAGATAACGTTGCACAAGTTCTAAAAAGAATCGGACTGAAAAAAAACATAGTGTGAACTCTCGGTGACAACTGCGCGGACATTAATTATACTATGATAATTAATAACATGATAATTCGTATATCCTATTTAATGAGTCTGCTTTTTCTCTCAAAATCTATAAAATCTATATTTTACAAATTTTGTTCTATCTGTACTTATATGATAGGACAAATCTTGTGCGATGCAATTCAAAAGCTATCGAAAGTGTGTGATTTCTCATATACCTATATATATGTATAAAAATAATTGTAAAGTTTTTGTTTCTGGAAAAATTTCAACTTCAAAAGAAAATCATGAAAAACCTGTCAAATTTCTAATTTGATCTTTATATTAATTTGCGAAACAATTTGCTATCTAATTTGCTAGTAAACTGAGTAAATGATATGCTAGTAAATGATATGTCCAAATCATAGTTCGGAAAGGAGCTTTAAAAAAGCTTTTTACACAATATTTCAAAGTTTCATGTTACTTATATTCTTTAGAATTTAAGTTTTAGTCTGTATTCAAGTATCTTTTCTTTATGCATTATATATGTGCTTGATGTTATTTCTGATACCGTGCTTATGATTTGATTATTTGATCAGTATAAAAGTAAAGATTCAAAGCATGTGCTTATTAAAGTTAAACTGGAATTTTTTCACTTGTTTTTAATTAAAAGCGAAGTAAAAGTAGAAGAAACAAAATTATAATATCAAAGGACCAACAGCTAAAAAACTGTGTTATGCAAAAATTATCAGTTAAATAACACTTCAAGTAATTATATTACTAATTATCAAATTATACTATATTTCCTTTTATGCCCAATTATGTATGATGTATGAAAATAAGATGCGATGAAAATAAGATAGGAGACTCAAATTGTACATATACGTTGTATGTTGAGCTCACGTTTTGAATGCAAATTCAAATGTGCTCGAAGTGTGCATTATACACGTACATGTATGCTCTGTTAGTGATACCGAGCAGAAATACATTAGAAAAAATTTAGAGAAAAAATAAAAAAAAAAAGAAAAAGAAAAAAATAAGTACTTCAAATATAAACGTCCTGGAAAGACAAGATAAAGTGCATGCAAACGACGAAATACTGTCAAACAAAAAACCAGTATAGCTGAATTAAATACAACAAAAAAACAGTACATTATGCCATTAACCAGACTATCACACAACACTTGAAACATTGTATCATAACTATTAAACATAATGGAAGTGTATTTCCATTATGCTCTATCAACATTCAGCGAATTATTCAATATAAAATATTGTTGCATCTACAGTAGTGGATTTGTTCGCATAACATATTCTTACATATTCTCACACATAAACTTACTTATATATATATATATATTTCTTTTCTCTAGTTTTCTGACAATTTAACTTTTTATAGAGCTTTGGATTGATTATATCTAATAATCGTTTTTTATGAACAAATTTACTAGTGCAGACGTAATATCCATCTTTATTAACTTTTAAATATTACTCATGAAATTTATTAAATTTCGAGATAAGATTTGCAAAAATATTTATATGCATTGCATACAAAAAAAACTAATAAAATCTTAGTTTTAAAAAATTATTTATTAATTAGTAATTTCTAGTAAACTATTTAAAACTTTCTAGTATTATTACTTAATTAATAATTAATTTCTGATTAATTGTTCAACATGATATATATTCTAATAGTTTTATTTTTTCTAAAGATTTATATATGTGCCTTTCAGTTATCACGATACTTGAACATTAAATTGAATGTGTTTTTAAAATTTTGGAATAATAAATACTTGTGAGTAGTATTTAAAGGTAGTCTGGCAACTCTGGTTGTTTCTAATTGTGCTGCGCGTGAACTTGTCGCGAGATACGGCCGTGTCTTTTGATGAGATAAAAAAAAAAAATTGTTTTCAAGCAGTTCTATTATGTATATGTATATACATGTGATGCTATACGTGCCCAATCTATATATACATACATACATATATATATATATATATGTATATATAAATTTCTGTGTGTGTGTGTGTGTGTTATATAATAAAATACAATATAGAAAACTAATGGTTTATATAAATTAACACTTTGATGATTGATGTCTCTTTTCACGTCACCTTTAAGTAACTTCTTGTTTAAATCTTTATTTTTAACGCTTATAAATATTCATATTATATATACATATTTCGTATAATAAAATCTTTAATAATTTTTCATACTTTGAGAATAGAATGCTGCTGTGCAGAGTATGTATGTGTGCATTGCCAAATTATGAGCTGGAATAAACAAAAGTTTGTCGATATACATATACTTATAATATTAAAGTAATATTTATTTCGTATAAACTCAAAAAATATTGGCCCTAACTGACAAATATTCAAGGAAACATGCAATCGTCAAAGTGTTAGAATTAATAAAAAATATTAAAATACATATATACTGTAACATTATACTTCGTTCCATGAGAGAATATTTTTGTTGTTTGCCAGACATAAATTTCGCCATTGATATTGCTTATTAAGCAGTATCACATAAACAAACAATAATATTTCATGATAAATAGTAGTGTGGTTAGATCAGTTTGTAGATGGTAGTGTTGATTTATAAATATCAATCAATCTAAATTTTTATTTTGATGCAACTAGATTCTCAAAAATCTTATCATATATTATAAGAGTATGCATATTTTCATTTCCGCTAAATATTTTCTTTCATGGAATTTAGTTTACGTACTAAAAATAATAAATCGAAAATAAGGAATAATTTCTTAAATAATCAAAATAATCAAAATTTTTTAAGCAGTAAACAACCAGAATTTCAAAAGATAAACTATATGCTCTTCACTTTTGAAAAGACTGTTAACAAGTGAGTAGTCCGTTTCCAATCATGTTAAGTCTATATAGCATATGGTGCCAAATCTCATTACAAATAAAACAATGCATTATATTTTATATATACACAGACAAAAAATACAATACACTGTACTAAAACTTGTTTATTTTTTTCAATTATTGTTTTTTTTTGTGATATAGTACTTTTGTGGTTTTAATTTAACACAACGTAGATGTTTGCTTAAATATATCTTCAACTTTATTCATTCCACATTACTGCAGTAAAAAAATTTCAACACTAAAATCTAAACAAGTTTGATATCTTTTACATCTATTCTGTGTTTTTGTTTTACTTTTACTTAAAAATAACAGAATTATTTTGACTCTTGAGCAGATTTACATCAATGTTTTAATTTAAAAAATATATATAAATTAAAATTTATGGATTTTGTCTGGAAACGGATTATGTGATTTACACAGATACGCACACATGCAGTAAGAGCTCTAGAAAATCTTGACAATTAATGGAACTTGCAGTTTTATATATAATTATGCAAAAAAAAAAGTAAAAAAATTAAGTATTATACACACATATGTGTACATACATGTATATACTGAAAGTAGATAAGATATAATGGGACTACTTTTACATCGAAATTTATATTGTACACATAAGGCTAAAAAATGTGTAACATACAAATTTTTTTTATTTCAGACACAAGTATACATTCAGCAGTTTGGCTTATTGAGAACTATAACAGTGGATAAAAACAAAAATTAATTTCTTTTGAAAATACTTTTAAGCTACTAATATCTTTGATACATTAAAGGTCAGTTTCTTTACCTACAATTAATTTACTCGACCGATTAATTTAATCGGAGATGATAAACTGACCTAAAATTTGTATACATACTGTGTATATCACAGCACAACACTCGCGGTGTTCTCAAACTGGTAGTATGACCAAAAAGATACTGATTTTGCATATAATATACATAAATAAAAATTACTATATATAAAAATATAGTATATGTAATAAAAAGTTTTTATAACTTTTATATTGTATAACTTTATTATATATATATATATATACATATATGTATATGTATATATATATATATATAAAAGTGATTTTAAATTGCTTCATTAAATAGAGTAGTGCGTTTTTACTTGCATATGTCTACACGCAAAAAAATTCATAGATATTTGTTAGATATCTTCAATTCATTAAATATTTAAATATGCTGCGGATATTTACTGGATATGTGTGTGTATATACATATATATATATATATATATACACTGGATAGTGAATATCAACAGGATACATATTATATTTTATGTACCTACATACTAATAACTGCTATTGAGAGACATTTAATAATAGTTTTCTTAATATGTATTTAAATTGATCGTCAATCGAGTTTTTTAAGTAGATTGCTTTCTTCTCTATTTGATGACGTATTGTATATGACACGAGATTATTAAAAATTAAACTTAAATGAAACAAAGTGTGTAAAATATATTAAGTTTTCAATAATTCTGCAAAAATGAAGCATCGTACAAAAAATCTTATATTTTATATTTTCGACTTAATTTGCACGTAGAATCGGTACCTTTTCCGTCGCTATCTGTTCTGAGAGGGACATATTACACACAAATAAGTACATGCGCGCATATAAAGTGCGCGCGTGCGTATGTGTGTGTACATTTTTATCTTACGTGAAAAATATCGAAAACAAAAGAAAAGAAAAAAGAGAACAGAAAGAAATGAAAATGAAAAAAAAAAAAAAAAGAAAAAAACACGATGTAGATATTTTATATTACTCTTTAATTACTTATTTGCGTCGTGTTCTACTTATATATAACACAGTATATATTTTAAAATAGGAAAATATACATACGTATTATATATATGAATAAAATATTTTAAAAACTTTGTGATAATTAATACACATATAGCTGTGTGTGTTTTTTGGTTTATTTGATGGCTCTCAGGCAGCGGGTGTGCATGTGGGTAAAAGGAATAACAAAAGAGAGAACGATCGTGTTTTCGACAGATGGCGTTGCGCCTTGCCGTGGTTTCTCGACGCTCTTCTACCGCTTTCTGTACATACAAGAGAGACAATTAAATAGAGATAGATAGGATATCTCGGTAGTTGCACTAGAGTGGTAATGGCACGGTGGTGTCCATACGTATGTATATATACCCACAATTTGTCGCGTTAAACAACTTCTCACGATTCGTTTCGCATATTTCAAGGCTACATACAATCTAAGGATATAAGACACACGAGATATATATGTATATATATATATATATATATATACATATACATATATATATATATATATATATATATATTAGACGAAAGTGACAAAAGAGAGAAAAAGCAAAAACATTGAGATAGATAAAGAAGCGTGTGTAATAATACTATGACTAAATCAGTATTGCTGTTTCGACGACAACCGCAAGGAACAGTGATGTAGGTTGTTTGTTTCTCACCCCAGAGTTCGAGACAATTATTTAATTCTTTATTATAAAATTTCTTGTTATATCAATGCGTTGTTACGTTGCAATATCGTCGAGTTTTCTATCACAAAGTGTGACCGTCGCAACGAATCGTTTACGACTACGTTACTACGTGTTTCTCATTATTGTCACTGTCATTGTCAACGTTGTCGTCATCATCGTTGTCGCAGCTGTCGCCGTCGCGTTGGTGTTATTATCACTATTTGTTGCAAGAAGTGCCTTTCCTGACTGTCGTTCAGCTGCGCGAGTGACCTGATATCGCCGAAGGCGACGACTGTGCAGTCATCTACTCAGCTATCACGCGATGTTCTTGCAGATCTATGTTTTCGTCCACTTCTGTCTATACACCGTGTGGTAGGTAGCATTAATATTATTAAATACTAATAATAGATATTTCCATATAATAATAACAATCACGCAGCCAGTGTCTTCTTTATATGCTCACAGATTATAATAACGAAGATTCGAGAATGTTGATTACTCAAAATTTAGAAATAATCAATTTATAGTTTTTTTGTTGAATAAATAAAAGAATATTGTAACCGAGCAATTTTGCATTGTAATGTTGCATGACATTTGTAACAACATTTGCTTGATATTTAGAATCATACATTGTTTTATTGCAAATATTAGGTGTGTATATATATATATATATATAGATATATGTATACGTAATACCTAAAAAATACCAGCTAGTATGTTTATTTTTTATATATTTTTTTATTTGTATTAAAATTTAGCAAGAGTATACATATATAAAATATGTATAACATGTATAATATGCTCATTGAGGATAAAAATAAGATAATTTTTGCCAAACCTAGAAAATATGGTATTGATTAAAACAATTAAAATAATTTAGTAAATAATGAAAAATAACAAATTATTTATGTTGCAATACAAGTTTTAAAAATATACTTTTGACATAATTGAATAATCTAAATAAAAATCTTTTATCATAGAATTTATTCACAAAGAAAATTAAAATCACTTTTTTATGACAGGTTATTTATATAATATACAATATTTGTGTAGTACTTATTTTAAGTATTAAAGAGTTAAATATATATGTATATATAAAAATGATATAAATCTTAAATATACATATATAAAATCTTTCTAAATTTTAAATATACATATATAAAATCTTTATAACAACTAGGTATAACCTTTCTTTTGTTATGATTACAGAAGTAAATCATCTAATTGCAACAGAAATGCATTGCTGTTGTTGAAACACTACAAAAAACAACAGAAAACTTGAAAACTCAAATTTTTTGATATAACTTGTTAGAGATTTATATAAACAAAAAATGTCACAACTAAATATCAGCACAAGCAAGCGAGGGAGAGGAGTTACTGCAAGTACTTCAGCACCAGCAGCATTATCGACATTAGGTGGCTCTACAGATTTGGCAAGCTTATTTGAGTGTCCTGTTTGTTTTGATTATGTGCTTCCACCAATCTTGCAGTGTCAGAGTGGGCATCTTGTCTGTACAAATTGTCGACCAAAACTTTCTTGTTGTCCCACATGCAGGGGTCCATTGGGTATTTAATATTTCTCTTCTATTTCAATTATTAAAAAAATTATTAAGATTATATATGTGTGTGTATATATATATATATGTATATATATGTATATATATATATTTGAAATACAATTTTTAATAATACAGGTAATATTCGTAATTTGGCTATGGAAAAAGTAGCAAGTAATGTAATGTTTCCTTGTAAGTACTCTACCAGTGGCTGTACAGTTTCATTAGTACACACCGAGAAAGCAGATCATGAAGATGCATGTGAGTTCCGTCCATACAGTTGCCCTTGTCCAGGTGCATCTTGTAAATGGCAAGGACAATTGGAACAAGTGATGCCACATCTTATAATGAGTCACAAAAGCATTACGACTTTACAAGGTATTATTTGCAATGTAATTTTATTTTTATTATAATTTGTTATACACACACAAAGCACATTGTTTTCTAGGAGAAGACATTGTATTTTTGGCAACTGATATTAACCTCCCAGGAGCGGTGGATTGGGTAATGATGCAATCTTGTTTTGGCCATCATTTTATGCTAGTGCTTGAAAAGCAAGAAAAGTATGATGGACATCAACAATTCTTTGCAATTGTACAACTAATTGGTTCGAGGAAACAAGCTGAAAATTTTGCTTACAGGTAACTATAGATATAACTTATAATCTCTCTCTTCCTCTCTTTCTCTCTCTCTCTTTCTCTCTATGTGTGTGTATGTGGCGTGCGTGTGCGTATGTACACACACGCACGCACGCATAATATGAATATTTTTTTATCAAGAAATAATCACACAAATTAAAAATTGCTTCAACGGCACATATGTTATTTTTTCTCATTATTTATATTAGAGTAATTTTAATAAAATTCTTGTTCAACATAGGCTCGAACTAAATGGACATAGAAGACGTCTCACATGGGAAGCAATGCCGCGTTCTATTCACGAGGGAGTGTCCTCTGCAATTTTAAATTCTGACTGTCTTGTATTTGATACTTCTATTGCACAGTTATTCGCTGACAACGGAAACCTAGGAATTAACGTTACTATTTCGATGGCCTGAGGAAGGGCTGATAAAGTCAGATCAGTGTAAAAAAAATTAAATATAATTATGCAGACATATCGAGCAGTCTTTTGGATTATGGGTGAACATACTATTGCTATAGGACTGCTCGCTGTGCACAGATAATTCTTTTTACGTTACCAGAATATTTTAGCAATACAAAGACGTTAGAAAAAATGTTGTTTGAGGTATATCTTGGTGATGCGCAGAATTTGAATACTTGATACAAGACGCCGTTGAAAAGCTTTAAAATATACTTTCGTGTGTATGATATTAACACTCAACGTAGATACATCACATTCTTTCATATATTCAATTTATAACTTTAAAGCTTTGACACTTATAATGAATTCCCAGAAAAAGAGTACCTGATATCCGCGCTATTGTTACATTACTTATTCATTTTATATCAAGAAGTTTTTATTACTATTCCCTGAAAAAATACATTGCGTTATACATACTTGTATTGAACATCGCTTTTCTCTATATTTTAACACTTCAGGACTTGATATGACAAGATTTTGCCATGCCAAACGTTGTATTTTATACACTTATCTCGTAATTTTGTGTGTGTGTGTGTGTGTGTTTTGCTTAAACATCTAACACATTATTGCTGATATATGCTAATATATTTTATATAAAAATAATATATTAGCATGTATCAGCAATGTTACATTTATATTATTTATTTTCGTTTGTAACAAATTATACTTTATCAGACTTACAATTTTAAACTTTTTCTATTTTTTTTTTTAATTCTTATTTAAGGTATTATCTAAATATCTTGTTTTTATGTAACGTTATACGTATGATTTTTTAATAATAAACGCAGGTCATTATATTGTTTGTTTTTTTTAGTATTATAAATACGATATGGATAAGAATCACGAAAAGCGTGATTCTTATAATTATTAATAAATATTAATGAAAGACATCAGTTTTTCACGATTTAGTCCGAATACTAAACAGTAAGGTGTTAATATTTTCTTAACACAGATAATACTTTTTTTTACATTCACATATGTGTAATATACACACATGCACGCGTGGGCGCGCACACACACATACACATGTATACATATCCGAGATCTGAAAACTTTTGACACAGCCAAAGTCTAAAGATAAATTGGGTCAATCTGAACAGAGAAGTCTTGTACCATTTTGTAAAATTTGCAATAGTTATTACTGATCAATTAGTATGATTTTAGTTGTAAAAAAAATGGATTTACTTTATGCAATTTCTTAACAGCACGAAACGAAGCAAACAAGCGAGTGGCGTGTGACACAGCTTGCAATTAGCTGATTTTCAACAACTGCAAATCATACACACCCACAGAATCCAAACTATCGCTTCCTACGCACGATTTAGTTGCATATATTAATTAATTATTCAATAACTATTGTTAATTTTACAAAATGGCAAATAACTTTTTTGTTCGGTAGAAGAGAATATGCTCGTGTTTTCAAATAAATGGAAGGAAGGCAGAACGAGCCAATACACTAGATGTAAGTGTATTCGTAAATGTATTTTTTCATTTAATGCTACAAAATTTTTTTTTACCCAAACGTTTCGATCTTTGGGTGAGATCTTCATCAGTAAATATACACTATGTGAAAACAAAGAAATTACCGAAATGTTATCAGATGTTAGACACAAAATAGTTATAACTGTTACCTGAGAATTATCAAATAATAATTTATAATGTCGTTAATTGTCAAATGATAATTTTATAAGCAGCAAGTCTCAACAAGTGAAGTGCGGCGTTGTCATCGTCTGTGTCATATAAAAAAGTTATGGAGTTGAGATTGTCAAATTTAAAACGTACCGTTGAGATAAACCTTCACTACGACTCCAACACACTTCACTTCACAGAACAAAAGTCAAGACTGCCGACGACAGTACAGCAAGTGAGTTTATAAATGTCGTTTCCTACCAAAACGCAATGACACAATTACATCTGATATATTGGCTTGTTCTGCTTACCTTCCATTTATTTTTTGTTCAGATTGACCCAATCTATCTTCACACTTCAGCTGTGTCAAAAGTTTTCAGACATCCTGTGTGTGTGTGTGCGCGCGCGCACGTGTGTGTGTGTGTTTGTGTGTGTGTTACAATGATGAGACTCAATTACATTATAGTTCCTGTAACAAAATAATAAGATGAAAAAATGATAAAAACAATTACATTAAAACATAAAGTCTTATATATGAACATAGTCTTATGTATGAACACAATTAAAATATTGCACAGACAAAGGTGCTTTCTAACTACGTACACAGGCGACACTGTGTAACACAGTGTACAACTTAGTGCTTTCCAATTATGACACAAGTCAACACAATTGTATAAAATTATAAATGCTGTGTTTCAACCGTCACCGTTTTGTGTCACTACGAGGATACCAAAATTTTTCTATTTATTTAATTATATAAATATTACATTATTTGTTTATTTATATTTGATTATTTTATAATTTGATTTTTTATTATTAATAAAACTTATTAATCTTATTAATAAAATGTATGTAAAATTGTAAACATAAATTGTACTTAATTCACATTTTCAAAAAACATATTATAGGAAATATATTTATTTAATTTTGTTTTTATTACTTTTACAGCACAACAATTTATTAATTTTAACAATTTAATTTACATGATTTGATCAGGTTTTTATCTTTTTTATATATCCGATCTGATTTGAAATAAGCTAAGTCATAAGAGAAACTTTTGTTAAAAAAATACTAATTTTTACAGTAAAAGTATTTTTCTGGCGATTTTAGATTATTGTAAATCATTGATATTTTTACTACACATGCATATATATCGAAAAATCTAATGATAAGTTTTTTGTAAAGTGATTGTTCTGTGCTCTGACGATGAAATAAAATAGTTAAATATCATTCCAGATGCAAGTCGACAGTGTGTAACACTGTGTCACACAGTTCATAACTGTGTTTCGTTGCTGGAAAGCGCCAAAAAATCTTACTCTTTGTTAAACGCGCTCGCAATGATCCAATTGAATATTTTTTTAATATATCACGTTATGTCATATTTTATTCATATTATTTATTTCTATATTATTTAGTTATTTGTACATTACACAAAATATGTTTACTACTGTAATAAGTTGTCGAAATATTGGGTGCTTTCCTGTCAGCTTTCCTGACAGTGTCGCCTGTGTACGTAGCTGGAAAGCACCTTATATTAACCTTTAGGCCGCCGCAAAAGTCTCTCTTTTGGGATTTCATATAAACTTCGAGATTCCACATAACGTGTATGTTATTAATATACACTCTTTGAGAAAAAAAAAATACACTATTTTAATAGAAAAATGCCGGCGGTCTAAAAGTTAATCCGTCTCGCTCACACTAGTGAACACTATGTTACACGGTGTTACACAGGTCGTGTACGTAGCTGGAAAGCATCCCATTAAGAGAAAGAGGAAGAAGAATGTGTTATTTCTAAAATTTTAATAAAAAGTGTTTTTCAACCAAAAGTTTATTAATGTAGAGTAGAAAAATAGTGCTATAGCAATAGAATTTTGCAAAAACATATTTTTCTTTCTCTTACAAAGAAATTGGAATTATTTTTTGTTGTAAATAGCGTTTTTTTTTTCATACTCTTATAATACACAGATTAATTGCTTAAAAAGAAGGAGTTCTGCTTCTCTCTATATTCTTATGCCCAATTTCTTCACCTTTGATAAGTTCTCGATAACTTTATCTAAAACATAAAGTATATCTTTTTGTATATCTTTATCCAGAGGATAGCTATCGGGAAGTATGAAGAAATTGGGCCTTACTCCGTTTGAAAAAAAAAAAAAACGACACATAGAAGAACACCACACATGTATAAAAGAATATAAATCAAATTTTCTTATTAGCGTTAAATATATGTACATATTGCGAATGGCGATCTGCGGACTTGTGATCCGCGAAGCATGTAACAGAAGATTGATTTCTATTACACACATACATACACACCCACACACACACATTCAAATTTATTTGAACAGAAATCTGTTTTGTTTAAACAATTAAGAAATTGCTTTGTAACATTCATTTTTAACACATTTTATTTAATGTATGTTTAATGTTAAATGTTATTAGAAATATCATTTTTATGTGTATTTTGAGCCTATAATAGAGAGAAATTGTCTCGTAGCTGTAAATATCTTTATTTTAAGTCTTAAGTTTTTTTTTTTGTAATTTATTAGAAGTTTTTTTTATTAATGTTTTCTTTACTACAACATTCGTAATTGTCGAAAAGCAGTGAAACATGAAAATAAAGTATTAAATCAAAGTATCGAATATTAATAATACTAGAAAAAATAAAAAATTTTCTTCGTAGAAATAATTTATTAAAATGTATATATTTTAAATGTACATATTTTTTTATCATTGTAAAGTTATGGAATAATTTTGTTTTTTTAAGTAAATAACTTTTAAACAACTGACAATTATTGGAACGGAAGTATTACAAATTGTGTTATTAAATATCTAAATTATGAACTCTAGTTTTTAATTTCTTAATTTTACAAAAAATTGTAAATGGTAAAACCTTTTTATTATTACACAGTCAAAGACATCATTATTGTAAATAAAAATTTGTTGTGTGATATAATTATATATACGCATATGTGCACATGTGTAGATATATATAATAAATAATTCGTATAACACATACACACACACACATGTATTCACAATGGTAGAAAGTTTCAGAAAAATATGCGGTGTATATATTATATACCAAGTTCACATCTGTTAAATATATAAGGTACAAAAAGACGGAATTCTGAAATATCTAGAAGAGATTAAGTTCGGACACAATGTTTCATACAAAAAAAAGAAAGGTTTTAAGTGGCGCATTGGGTAGTTTATGTTAGTGTGCTCTTGGACATCATTATCAAAGTCATATAACAATTACATTAATTAAAATTTTTTTTTAGTGATCATCTCTATTTTTGATTGCTTATTCTTGTAGCTGACTTCAAGACTGTTTTTTCAAATCAAAATAATAAAGATGTTTTTCATTAAATTTCGGAGTTGAATCTTAACTTTAGGCCAAAAAAAGTTAGGATACTTGGAGCGTAGCATGCACGCGAGTAAGTACAGTCGAGGTCATGAATTCGTTTCGTTAACGCGGGGAGCTAGGGATAAGAGGGACGGTATTCCCTAGCACGTAAGTAGCACCAGAGAGAAACCTGAGAGCGGCCATCCTAATGTAATTTTTTACGACGGTTTCAGCCGCTGGTTTTAGCCGTATTTCCACAAAAGTGGAACTCAAAGGCCGTTTTACATTAAACGCAAGTAGCAGAT